CACGTCCTGGAGCCTTGGATTTCGCACGTGGTACACATTTCTTTTGCTCAACCCTTGTCACTTTCTTGCGGGTACAGCCAGGCCTTTTGCCTTTGGTTGGTGCAGCACTGGGATGAAAGCCATGTTTTTTTCTTTTCCGCGTGGCTTGTGCCATATTTGAGATGTAAATGGCTGCCCAAAAGCCAACTTACCACAGCAAATTCCCAATTTACCGAAGGGGTGGTCGGTAAATTGGGGTCAAAAATGTGTAAGAACTGAAGGAAAAACAGCATATTCATGATAAAATGGTGGTCCACCCTAAGTAAAATTGAACAAAAATGTCAAAACATGTGGTAATTTCACAGTTTTGCTTCCAAAACTACGCAAAAGATGCAGAAACATCATAGGTTCCAAACTAACTATGAAAAACTGGTGGTAATATCACACTTTTGGCTCGAAAACTATTCAAAACATGTGGTCATATCACAGTTTCAGGTTTCAGACTGTGCAAAACGTGTGGTAATATCAACTTGTGGCTTCACAAGTATGCAAGAAATGAAGACATATCACAGTTTTGTCTTCAAACTGTGTGGAAATGGAAAAAAAAGGTGGAGATACCACAACTTTGGCTTTGAAACTCTGTAAAAAGCGTGGTAATACCACAGTTTTGGCTTCGAAATTGTGCAAAAGGTGTGGTATTTCCACAGTTTTGGCTTCAAAACTTGTTAAAAAAACTATGCAAATCGTGTGGTAATATCACAGTATTCCTTGTAAAAAAACACAGACAGATAGTGTGCTTCATTTCTGTGTCACAGCAAGACATGGGATGCCAAACCAATGGTTTTACATAGCTTCAAAACTGTGATTGTGAGGGTGCAGCCGCTCACAAAAAATATTCTAAGAAGTTATACATGTCTGATCATGTGCACACATGGAGCAAGCACTAGTCTCCGAATTTATTGACCACCCTGCCCCCCACCTAAACATATAATTTTAGACAACATAGTCGGAAACAAAATGCATTTTTGTTCTTTGCTTTTTTGTTTTTTCCTCTTTCCCCTCGATTTTGCAGCCTCAAACCCACTCCTTCACTCCTAATTAACATCGGCAAGATAGGGGAAGCTGCAAAACCTCGTGTCTTTTGTTACGTAGATGTCGCAGTGTCTATAGGGGAAGCTGCAAAACATCGTGTCTTTTGCGACGTAGATGTCGCAGTGTCTATAGGGTAAGCTGCAAAACGTCGTGTTTTTTGCTACGTAGATGTCGCAGTGTCTATAGGGGAAGCTGCGAAACCTCGTGTCTTTTGCTACGTGGATGTCGCCGTGTCTATACGGGAAGCTGCAAAACCTCGTGTCTTTTGCTACGTGGATGCCGCCGTGTCTATAGGGGAAGCTGCAAAATCTCGCGTCTTTTGCTACGTGGATGTCGCCATCTCTATAGGGGAAGCTGCAAAACCTCGTCTTTTTGTTACGTGGATGTCGCCGTGTCTATAGGGGAAGCTGCAAAACTTCGTGTTTTTTGCGACGTAGATGTCGCAATTTCTATAGGGGAAGCTGCAAAACCTCGTGTCTTTTGTTACGTCGTTGTCGCAGTGTCTATAGGGGAAGCTGCAAAACATCGTGTTTTTGTTGCGTCGATGTCGCAGTGTCTATAGGGGAAGCTGCAAAATCTCGTGTGTTTTGCGACGTAGATGTCCCAGTGTCTATAGGGGAAGCTGCAAAACATCGTGTTTTTTGCGATGTAGATGTCGCCGTGTCTATAGGGGAAGCTGCAAAATCTCGCGTCTTTGTACGTGGATGTCACCATCTCTATAGGGGAAGCTGCAAAACCTCGTCTTTTTGTTACGTGGATGTCGCCGTGTCTATAGGGGAAGCTGCAAAACCTCGTGTCATGTCGCCGTGTCTATAGGGGAAGCTGCAAAACCTCGTGTTTTTGGCTACGTGGATGTCGCAGTGTCTATAGGGGAAGCTGCAAAACCTCGTTTTTTTTGCTACGTAGATGCCGGCGCAGTGTCTATAGGGGAAGCTGCAAAACCTCGTGTCTTTTGTGCGTCGATGTCGCAATGTCTTTAGGGGAAGCTGCAAAACGTCGTGTCTTTTGCTACGTGGATGTCGCCGTGTCTATAGGGGAAGCTGCAAAATCTCGTGTCTTTTGCTACGTGGATGTCGCCGTGTCTATAGGGGAAGCTGCAAAACCTCGTGTCTTTTGCTACGTGGATGTCGCCGTGTCTATAGGGGAAGCTGCAAAACATCGTGTTTTTTTGCCACGTAGATGTCGCAGTGTCTATAGGAGAAGCTGCAAAACCTCGTGTCTTTTGTTGCGTCGATGTCGCAGTGTCTATAGGGGAAGCTGCAACACCTCGTGCTTTTTGGTACGTGGATGTCGCAATGTCTATAGGGGAAGTAGTTTGTGCGAGCTTTGTAGTACACAGTAGTACTGGAACGTGTTTGTGCATGTGTAGTACAAAGTAGTACTGGGAACGACTTTGTGCAAGCTTTGTAGTACACAGTAGTACTGGGAACGACTTTGTGCAAGCTTTGTAGTACAAAGTAGTACTGGGAAGTAGTTGTTGCAAGCTTTGTAGTACACAGTAGTACTGGGAACGACTTTGTGCAAGCTTTGTAGTATTGTAGTACACAGTAGTACACAGTAGTACTGGGAAGTGCTTTGTGCAAGCTTTGTAGTACAAAGTAGTACTGGGAAGTGCTTTGTGCAAGCTTTGTAGTACAAAGTAGTACTGGGAAGTGCTTTGTGCGAGCTTTGCAGTACACAGTAGTACTGGGAACGTGTTTGTGCGAGCTTTGTAGTACACAGTAGTACTGGAACGTGTTTGTGCATGTGAAGTACACAGTAGTCCTGGGAAGTGCTTTGTGCAAGCTTTGTAGTACAAAGTAGTACTGGGAAGTGCTTTGTGCGAGCTTTGTAGTACACAGTAGTACTGGGAACGTGTTTGTGCGAGCTTTGTAGTACACAGTAGTACTGGAACGTGTTTGTGCAAGTTTTGTAGTACACAGTAGTCCTGGGAAGTGCTTTGTGCGAGCTTTGTAGTACACATTAGTACTGGAACGTGTTTGTGCGAGCTTTGTAGTGCACAGTAGTACTGGGAAGTGCTTTGTGCAAGTTTTGTAGTACACAGTAGTACTGGGAAGTAGTTTGTGCGAGCTTTGTAGTACGCATTAGTACTGGGAAGTGCTTTGTGCAAGTTTTGTAGTACACAGTAGTACTGGGAAGTAGTTTGTGCAAGCTTTGTAGTACACAGTAGTACTGGGAAGTGCTTTGTGCAAGCTTTGTAGTACACAGTAGCACTGGGAAAGACTTTGTGCAAGCTTTGTAGTACAAAGTAGTACTGCGAACGACTTTGTGCAAGCTTTGTAGTACAAAGTAGTACTGGGAAGTAGTTGCTGCAAGCTTTGTAGTACACAGTAGTACTGTGAACGACTTTGCAAGCCTTGTAGTACAAAGTAGTACTGGGAAGTAGTTGTTGCAAGCTTTGTAGTACACAGTAGTACTGGGAACGACTTTGCAAGCCTTGTAGTACAAAGTAGTACTGGGAAGTGCTTTGTGCAAGCTTTGTAGTACACAGTAGTACTGGGAACGGTTTCGTGCAAGCTTTGTAGTACAACGTGGTACTGGGAAGTGCTTCGTGCAAGCTTTGTAGTACAAAGTACTGGGAAGTAGTTTGTGCAAGCTGTGTAGTACACAGTAGTACTGGGAAGTGCTTTGTATAGTGTGGAGTGGGGAGTGTAGAGCGTGTAGAGTGTGGTGTAGTGTAGATTGTCAAAAGTAAGAGTGTAAAGTGTAGAGTGTGGAGTGTGGAGTGTAAAGTGTAGAGTGTAGAGTGTGGAGTGTGGAGTGTAAAGTGTAAAGTGTGGAGTGTGGAGTGTAAAGTGTGGAGTGTGGAGTGTAAAGTATGGCGTGTGGAGTGTAAAGTATAAAGTGTGGAGTGAGGAGTGTGGTGTGTGTAGAGTGTAGAATGTGGTGGAGTGTGGCGTGTGGAGTGTGGAGTGTAGTGTGTGGAGTGAGGAGTGTGGAGTGTAAAGTGTTGAGTGTGGAGTGAGGAGTGTAAAGTGTAAAGTGTGGAGTGTAAACTGTAGAGTGTGGAGTGTGGAGTGGAAAGTGGCGAGTGTGGAGTGTAAAGTGTGGCGTGCGGAATGTAAAGTGTGGAGTGTGGTGGGTGTACAGTGTTGAGTGTGGTGGAGTGTGGAGTGTAGAGCGTAGAGCGTGGAGTGAGGATTGAGGAGTGTAAAGTGTAAAGTGTAAAGTGTGGAGCCTGGAGTATAAAGTGTAGAGTGTGGAGTGCGGAGCGGAAAGTGTCGAGTGTGAAGTGTAGAGTGTAAAGTGTAGAGTGTGGAGTCGGAGTGTAAAGTGTAGTGTGCGGAGTGTGGAGTGTAAAGTGTGGAGTGTGGAGTGTGCAGTGGGTAAAGTGTGGAGTGTGGCAGGTGGTGGTGATCTCGTTGTGCTGGTGATGTTGCTGTGCTGGTGATGCTGTTGTGTGGGTGATTTTGTTTTGATTTCATTGCGCTGGTGATATTTTTGTGCTGGTTGTGATTTCGTTGTGCTTGTGGTGATGTTGTTGTGCTGGCTGGTTGTCTCTTTGTGAACCGCACGATGCATGCAAACAAAGGTTCGTTTTCCTATTGCAGAGGTTTGCACTCGTAGTCCAAGAACGTGAATACATTCGGGTTCGTGGCTTCCATCTTGTTTAAACTATTTTTTGTTTTTTTTTCTACATCTTTGATCATATGAAAGATCAAAGTTTGGGAGATGTACTGTTTTTGGTGTGTTAATCCTTAGCTCTATTCTTGGCTGCTTGCTTTTTGTAGCTCCATTGGTTTTTGATAGGTGGTCTTAGTTCCTAAAAACGTGGACAAATGGGAACCTGACAGCGTGCCTTTCTGTTTTATGGGTGGTATGTTTACCATTCCCAGTCATGGGTGGTTTGTGACATTGTTTTTACCCACATTAGGCCTCATAAATTGTTGCCTTGATTGTTTTGCTTAGCATCTGCCAGATGCTGCCAGGTATGGCAAAATGCTTTGACATCAAGCAACTTGACTGCATTCCGTGGACAGGTGACTCACCACAGCTGTGATAAAAACAGCGTGAGTCACGTCAGTAAAAGTTTCGCCGATTTGGAGGATATATGTTATCAATGATGTTGCAGACCATATTGGTTTCCCATATGAAATGGCAAATCATATGACACTCCCTTCCATTTTCAAGAATTCTACCTCTATCTCTCTCTCTCTCTCTTCCAAGTACCGTAACAAGGTGTCTTTGATCCATTTGGATCCATTGAGACATCCATTCAGACATCCATTGAGGCATCCATTTGCATGCCTGTAGATCCAGGCTTGCTGTAATTCATATTCAGGTGAACATCCATCTATTAGCATCAAATTTTTTCTATTCTACACTGCTAGGTAAACCATAGGTTTTCCGCATCTTTTTGTATGTTTACCCTAGGGTAACCACAACATGCTTCCTGTTTTGACCCAGCTACCTCCATGGTAGACTCACCGCCTCGTTGATGCTAAGGTCCTTGTCCCAGCTGAAAGCAACGAAGGCAACACAAGGCCGGTCCAGGTTTGGGTTTGGTGCGCGCGGAAGATGGTTTTTTGCACCAAAATATGGGGAAAAACAATGAAAAAGAGGGGAACTTTACGGTTGATTTTGCAGAAAGAAACATTAATGATTATTGGATGGTGCTTAGCGTTTAATCACTGGGATCATAATGAACAATCATAATGGGAATTTTTGTGATTGTGGTAATGGGATGTGATATAATTATAGGCGATAGCATGCTGTAGGTGATATTCCATGGGATATTAGTATATAAGGAATTTGACCAACTGGGAATGATTCATTCGGTGATTTCGCAATGAAACATTGGGTTTCAAGATGTTTTGATTGGAGACTCATGGGGAAATCTTAGAGGGTTTACCATATTTATAATGGGAATATAACGGCAATATTAATTACAATTTAATGGGATACATCACCAATCATATGAAATACACACATATATATAATATGTGTGTGTGAAATTGGGTTATGCCATCCACTTTATGGCCATGAAAAAGGGGGTGAAGTTTGATGAACATCCAGATGGATTCCAAACGAAAGACGTTAATTTGTAAGTCCAAACAGGACTGACTTGGAACGTACTTCGTTTTCCCATACCCTCTTGTAAACTAACATAGCTATGGAAAGATCCACCATTTTCAATGGGTAAATCCACCATTTCGACTGGGCCATTTTCAATAGCTTTTTGTATGTTTACCAGGCCGGGTAAGTGCCTGTTTTTTCAGAGTGTGAGGTCGAGATACAGCGCATCCGCCCATGTCGATGCTGCACTTCATCATGAGCCTGATGCGAAAGCAATGCCCTGAAAGGAGAGACCTGGGATGGCCGCCATGGCCGATGTCACCCGTTTTTTGGGGTGGGGGGGAGTTGTTGATGGTATCCCCAGGTCCCATCGGAATCGTAGCCCTGTATTTGTTGTTCTGCTTTCTCACTGTCACGTCTTCTCTTTTTCTTTTTTTCCGTATGTTCCTTGTTCACCCCGTATACTTCTTACGTATTCCTTTTATACATTCTCAAACCACTCCGATCTTTCAGGTTTAGTATTCCAGAGAGGTTCTACTTCCGTCGTGTAAAGTAGTGTGCTGTGCGAGGGGTGGGCTCTCTAGTGTTCGTTCTAGCATTTTCCAATATTTTCCATATGGGTTTGTGTGAAAAATCCACTGGTTGATCATCATTTTCCAAATTTGTTTTGAATGGCATCCCCCAATTCCATGCACCTACAGCTCAAATATGCTCAAATTATTGGGCTCCAAATCCTCACCAATTGTCAATTCATTGATCCAGTTGTTGAACATGAACATCTTCAAACGCTTCGTTCCTGAAATTCGTGGCGCAATTCTGGTGAAACAAGTTGAACACTTCAAAGGTTTAAGAGACACATGTAGTTCGTGGATTTTCCCATGAAAAATGGTGATGTTCCATAGTTATGTTAGGTTACCAGAGGGTAATGTTTGTAAAGCAATAGTACTGTAAAGTCCATGATGTGGTGCCCAACCATTATTCACAATTTGCATCAATGTGCACCTTTGTTTCAATGGACTAATTATGGCTAATTAAAAGAAATAAGACCTACCCTCTGCCAATTTAATCTAGCTATGGAAAATCACTGTTCTGAACAATAGGTAAATAATATACTTCATAGCCCATGGCTTCCATAGTTAGGTCAGAAAATTGTCAGAGGGTATTCCCCACTTAGTCTGATGTTTTTTCCATACACATGTCATGAAATCGGGCATTGATCAGAGTAAGACCTCCATTTTTCGAAAACGATGTTTTTCCCATCATTTTCCAAGACAACACCGTTTTTTTTTCCATGGAAAATCTCCTCAAAACTTCCCAAGACATCCAGGACCTTGAACCAAGTCGAGTCGGAGTTTAAACATGTGGAGTTGGCCAAGAACGTGGCATGGCTGTCTTTTCAAAGTTGCGCATGGGTTGAAGGATTTTTTGCCGGGATTTTTTCATGGTGGAATTGGGAGTTTTGTGGAGTTTTGATGTTTTTTTTTTATCCGAATGGGATAGAATTTGGGCTTGTCCCGGGACCGGCTTCCAGGAGATTCCGTTTATGGATTTTAGTGGTTGAATATTCACATTTTGCGTTTGTCCCCAGAGTCTCCAACACATGCTTTTCGGCCCATCTATGAACCGCTATGAACTGCAAGGTGTAGTTGTGAGTTGCAAGAGCTATGTTTTCCTAAATTTTGACCCCACTGGAATTTGCCAACCGTGCGTGGTTTGCACCAAAAGTGGTCAAGTTGTATCAGGGTGCGACATCCAGGCTACAATGCTGTCGTCAGGAATCAGATTGAATTGAATGTCTCAAACCAACTGTTGTGAAATCAGGCCATATATTTACATATGTGGGGTTTTCAGGTTTTACAAAAGGTGACAACAGGTACTCTTCGTACAGGCGCCCCCACATTAGTGGTTTGTAGGCCCTCTGCAATGATCTCCATTGCATGAAGGCTTCAAACACATCATTGTAGAGCACCGCCGCGTACAACAAATTAGAGACAAGGAAGAAAACATCCGCATCGGGGACAGTGCCACCAAACAAATTCATAGAGGTACCTTGAAGAAGTAGGGACCCTTGGGTTAATACTTTTATTAATGTAGGTGGGGGACCACTCTGGGGACCCTTAAGGAGGGAGTCATGGCTTATTACTGATATTCAAAGAGGGCATTACATTGGGCTGTAGATATTCCATTCGTAGCAATGAAATACGATGGGGTTGGGGTAGCTATATCAAGAAATAGGTGAACTTTGGAGGTTTGTGAATTATACTATCGTTACTACATTATAGCCAGACAATTGAAATGGATGCAATGGAGGTTTGTGTTCATCTTTGTTATCAACAGATATCTTATGCAGTCAGATTGTGTTTTTTTTTTATGTGTGTTTTTTCTGAGCCGGGTGTGTGATTAATCCCTTCCTCCTAATACTAAACCCCCCCCCCTAATACAAAACACGGCAGGTAGTTTTTAGTATTAGGGGGGTATTTATTATTAGGGAACCAAAATATTGCCAAAAATGGCAGTTCGAAGCTTACCCCTAATACTAAATTAAAACCCTTAATAATAAAAACTATTTTTTCCGATCTCAAAATCAATTAAATTTCCTTATATAACGCAATTAAAATATTGCCAAAAATGGCAGTTCGAAGCTTACCCCTAATACTAAATTAAAACCCTTAATGCTAAAAACTATTTTTTCCGATCTCAAAATCAATTAAATTTCCTTATATAACGCAATTAAAATATTGCCAAAAATGGCAGTTCGAAGCTTACCCCTAATTGCTAGACCAGCCAGGCAGCTTGGATTTGGGGAGTAGGACTAGCCCCCCTAATACTAAACACCCCGGGATGAATTAGTTTTTAGTATTAGGGGGGAGAACCCACAAATGGTAGGTTGATTTTTGAATTGTTTTTTAAAGGGGATCAATTAAAAGTCAAATTGGCCAAACTGAAATTTTCGGAAATTGGAGATGGATGCCTGTTTTTAGTATTAGGGGGACGTTTAGTATTAGGAGGAAGGGATTATTATTGATAAATCAAATCAAACCTTGATTTTCCAAACTGGTGCGTGGTTGCACTGGCTTTTTGCTTTCCATTTTATATATTATATGGGGATGGTTTTCAGCCTCGGTTCAACCATATATGTTTTTTTTTGCCCAGCCACCAGCCAGCATCAAGAATGATCTATTAATTATTGGTGTTGATAATTACCTTTTTAATCAGCGGTTAAAGGTGATCTGATTCATTATACCGTTTAAGGATTGTTACTCATTGTTGGTTCTAGCCCCAACAGTTCCCGTCAATATTTTGGCAATGTGTGAGGGCACACCAAGGTGGACGTGGGAGAGCTGACAACGATCCTCCAAAAGTTGTACCTTGGCCACAGGGAGAAGGGCGGGTGAGGTGGTGCGCTATGGGGGGTCCCTTCAGGATACGCCAGATGGGTTTTTTTACCAAACATGGCAGTGAAATCCCCTACATATAAATGGCGATTCGGAAACTCATGGAAAATCATCTGTGAATGGTGGATTTTCTGGCTAGCCATGTTTGATGACACCGGAGGGCAAGTCATTTGTTTCTTTGGGTCATCCTCCGCTGGCAGGCAGTCAGCCGTCAACATGATCCACCATGAGATGGCGAATCACCATGAGGATTACGTGCACGTATTTCCTCCCCTGGCCCAGAACGTTCCGGGTCCAAGTTTTGGGTGGAGGGGATCAGGTGGTTCATGGTACCCCCAGAATTCGGGATATTTGAATGTATCAATTGTTTCCCACGACTACCTGCAGAAGCACCAATTCATACAAAGGATGATTTTTTGTGTTTCTTCTTGTTGTTGTTGCTGTTGCTGCTGTTGTTTCTGTTGTTGCTGCTGTTGCTGCTGTTGCTGCTGCTGGTGTTGTTGCTGCTGTTGCTGCTGCTGCTGGTGTTGTTGTTGTTGGTCGTTTTAAGGCCAACAGTGTTGTTTAACATCTGGCCCCAGTGATGATCGGACAGTTCCTGATAAATTTCAACCTAAACCCTTCTCGATGTTTGAACAAACAATTACAGATTTACTGTATATGGTGATATATGCTGATTCTGTTTTCTTTTGCTAGTTGTGTTTTTTGTAAAACCGGCATCATTAATCCCATCCTCCTGGATAGGATGATTTATATACTTTCAACATTCTACAAGGTAAAGAAACCTCCAGCTATAAGTTGTTTTCAACACCAATATATAACTATAGTCTAATAGTCATATTCCCCACAAACCCAGGGAATAAGCCAGCTTGCCTATCCCAATGAGAGGGATTTTCCAACTAGCCATGTTTGATTACCGGAGGGTACCTACAACATCCTACAACTTAATTCTCTAAATCCCATTAAATCCCATTTCAATTCGATTGAATGCCATTAAACCATCATTTAAATCCCATTAATCCACCACGTTGGCCCACCTTTTTTCCCCCCAGGCGCCATGCGCGTCCGCATCGTCCTCCGACAGCGACGAGACGTGCTCCCCCGAGCGGCGTCCCAGCGGTGGAATGCCGAAGAGTTGCCTCGGGAAGATGACGCTGTTGAAACAACAGCTGGAGGCGGTTTCCAGGGAGTCGCTGAAGACATCTCCGATATCTGGGTCAAAAACCAGAGATGGAAGGTCTAGTTGAGTAATTATTAACCATCCAATGATACCCATCTCCGAGACTTTGTAGAGTAGCTATCGGATGGGGAACTGGTTGGTGGTGACTGGAACCATGGAATTTTGACTTTCCACAATATATGGGAATAATAATCCCAACTGACGAACTCATATTTTTCAGAGGGGTAGGTATACGATCAACCAGGGAAATGTCGGGAAAATTGTGGGTTTGGGATTGTTCTGGTTTAATCTGATGTTTAAACAACGATGTTGGGATATTCTAATGTGGATGGCTGGTAAGCCTCCCTTTTTTCAGGTGAAACCCACATTCTCTAATTCTTGTTTGGCTCAAACTCGATATTGTGGTCAATGCAACGTGCTCTAATGGCTTGTTTACGTTTGCCCAAGAACTTCAATCTTAAGAAAACTCCATCAATTAGGTTGGTCACAGGCTTTTATCGATTTGTCAAGCTTCCTCTTGTCCAATCAGTTTTACCTTAAAACGCAATATTTTTGTTGATTTGTCATCCAGTAATCCGCAAACAGATGCAAAAAGACTAGATCCAAGTTCAACATAAGGATAGCACATATATATATATATTTATATTTGTATTTATGAATGTGTACTCAAATCTATCCATTTTTGGTGGTTAATGTATCCATCTCCCTTTTGTGGTTTCTGGGGACTGACCGCTGCGCAGGAGCAGCTGGAGAAGAGCCGACAGGAGATTTTGGAGGCGGAAACAGTGCCTTGGAGCCGGGGGAGGCTGTGGGGGATCCCCAAAATGAGGGGTTCATCATGGAAAATCCTATGAAAATCCTATGAAATCCTATGAAAACGGATGATTTAGGGGCACCCCCATTTTTTAAAAAAACCTTCATATCACTATATATTCATGTCATACTTGGTGGCCCATCAAGTAGGTTATAATCCCAGTTAGAAGTGAATTCACTCTACTTCCACTCATAACAAGTAAGTGGGATGAGCCACCAAGTATCCATAATACGTATAGATATTCATGGGATATCCGTTATATATTAATTAATGGTATATAAATATTACCGGAATATTAATGACATGTGATGACCATAATTCATATGAGTGTAGCCATCAAATTGATCATGAGGCCCATTGTGTAGGCATCTGGTTCGATGGGAACCATTAAACTGGATCAAAATGATCAAAGATCATGGCCTCACGTCGTTGTCCCATTTTTCCGGAAAACCCTGGGACGGGAAATGGCGAAAAAAACGCGCTATTTTCATGGTGAAGTTCGTTGGATACCAGAAAAGTTTAGGGATTTAAGGGGATCACCCGCGATTTTTTAGCATCACAACTTGGATGTAGAACTTAATAACCATCAAAGGTAAGGAATCAATTGATTGAAGCATCAAATGTAAAGATTTCTAGGTCAAGAAAATGTGATTTTGACATATTTTGACCATCAGAGTGGTTCCATGGGATAGTAGTGGGATATTCAATGGGTAGATATGGCGATGTGCATCCGACTACATCCAATGGCGGGCTGGATGAAAATGGTGAATTTGATCTCCCAGTTATGGCTATGTTACTGGGGGAAATGATGACAACCCATGGGTTATGCGGAGCTTTTCCCATAGTTTTCTGACACCAATGTGGTTTTATCGTAAAAAAAATGTGCGATGATATGCGTTCGTGAGCTGCCATTCAAGATTAGGAGTTAAGACGGATAAATTTGAATTTCCCTGTATGTTTAATTATCAAAGATTCGTCCAATATGTGTTTTTTTGGTTTCAGCCTCCATCCCCATCATCCTCTTCCCACCTCCTCCCAATAGTGATATCCTTTCTTGGAAATAGACGGGTCAGTTGGGTATACCATTTGCATCTACACCTATTGCTCGTTGAATTAAGGAGCCACCTTATAATGTAATCAACTAACCAGTGGAAAAAGGACGTATCTATCAAAAAACCATTGGGTACTCTAAAATCCAATGGTTGTTTATCCTCCGGTTATCCTCCGGTTAAGACCATAACTGAGGGGTACATTCTGGACACAGGACACAGCCATATTATTCACCAGTTAAGTCCCTATGTCTGATGTATAAACCTTGGTTGAATCCTGGATGACCATGGCCTAGGGATGACTAGGGGTTGGCCTAGGGGATGTATTGTTTGTTGCATTTTCCTGCTCCAGTTGGTTTGTGGCCACTCCAACTCCCAAACTTCGAGGATGGGATCGAGTTGCTCAAGTATTTTGGGCACCAGGCGGGGCGGCAAACTCTGATTCTCCACGGAATGGTACAGGGAAACTGTGACATTTCGGCAGGTGTTCATTCCATGGAAGATCCTGAGTTTCTTCAAATCGCACTGGTACTCAAACATGGCTAACGGCTAGCTGGAAAATCCATGAAAATCCCTTATTTATTCATAGATCTGGGTAAATTTGATCACGACCGAACCCTGTTCTCGCCCTGGAATCATGGTTTATTTTAGGGAAATCATCCCCAGCCATGGCTGAACTATTCAGTCAGCTTAGTGAAGTATGATTTACCCAGATGATCTCCAAGGTTCCATCCCGGGAATCGTAAGATTATCGTAAGTGGGTTACCGAGCCAACCATAGTGCGCCCTTGTTATTTAGCTTACATGTAATGGGTTTTCCATATAGTAACCCCCCAAAACGATGGGGAAGTCGGGTTCTTATCCAATTCCACAAAAAAAATATATTTGGATCATCAATCACTGGGCTTGGCTCGCCTTTAGCCTTTGGCTAGACTCTTGGAGATGGCGATGGAGAGAGATCAATCTGGGCGGAGATGGCCCCTAATTTTTGAGCTATGGAAAAAATCTTTGGATAACCAATTTCTTCAACAAAAACCGATCCAGCAGCTCCAGCAGCTCAGGCACGCGGTTCCAAGGGCTCCAGCGGCTCCAGCCCTGCAAGCCCGAGCTCGAAGGATGAAGCAGCACCAGGTGGGTCCCAGAACTGGGGGCGGAAGCCCATCCCGTTGTGAGAGACACCGATTCTGAGAGCTTCATTCCCTTTATGGAATGTGGAATTTCCCTAAAAATCATGGGTTTCTAAGGGGCTAGAGTTTATGGTCTTTGTAAGGGCTGATTTTATTTGGGAGAAGGGATCAATTTACCGGATTGACCGGAAAAAATGGTGGTAGAATGGGAATGATCTTGGAATTGAACCAGGAAATATCCAATTTTGGAATGGTTAATCTCCGGAAATCAAAACTGGCAATGGCACATCCACCATTCATGACCATGATTTTCGCAATAAAAACTCCTAATTTGTTAGGGAATTGCCCCATTGCCAGGTATGATTACTATATAGAGGGTATAGAGGGGACCGTGATTGAGTCTGGGGGTTCATCAGAGTCACTTTCAGTTTGCAACAGATGTTGGATTGATATGGATTTATGATTTATGATTTATCATGCTTGCGCCAATGTTCACACTGAAGGTAGCTTCCCCGGTTTTTGCTGTTTGATCATACTCTTTTATGATTTCTTTTGAAATTCAAATGGACTGCCGTTCACTCCGAATGACGACTGCCGTTCACTCCGCCTTGAGGTGAGGTGAAAGATTTCTTCAAGAACTTCTCGGAATTTCTGCGCAAAGATTTTAAAACCAGCTGGCAGGCGCGCGGAGGGATGGAACAATGGGGGGCCCAGGGGACGAACCATCCTATGAATCACTCCGAACTCCGAGTTGTCACTGGTTGTTTGTCGGGGTTGGATTTACACATGGGTGCAACATGGTGCAACAATTTACTGTAAATGCACTACTAATATGGGGTAAGAATCTATAAATCTATAGTCAATACATTGGTAATAATTGACTTGACCTAGCAACTTTCAAATTTTATGTGTGATTCCCTATGGCCAGGTCAGTTAGAACTGGGAGGGAGCGATTTTTTTGCATCTGCTGTCATCCAGCCAACACAACATGGGTATGTCTGAAAATGATGGGAACAGCAAAATCCATGGTTATTCCACTGTTGAATCATAATGTTCACATTCAAATAGTTTCTGGTTGGTGGTTTGGAACATTTTTTATTTTCCATATTATATGGGATAATCCTTCCCATTGACGAACTCATATTTTTCAAGATTGTTATTGCACCACCAACCAGGATTTATTTGGTAACTTTCAAGGTGATACCCTATTTATTTCAACCAAATCCGCACAAAAAAGACATCTTGAAATGGGCCCATTGCTACCTCCAAGAACTTCTCAGGATTTGGACGGCAAGTTCAAGCACGCGCTGGGCCGCACCCCGCGCACCCCACGCACCCCCCGGAGTTCTTAATCGACCCTTGGGGAATCACACTGCGGCAATGGGAAATCCAAGTAGAGGCTGATCGCTGAGAAAATCATCCATGGAAAAAAAATCCCATTGCCATGGTTGATTACCGGAGGCAAACCATTTGATTACCTGCGGGAAACGGTGCTTGGGTCCTTTTAGTACGTTAATCTTCTGGCTGGTGGTTTCAAAGGTCTTACAAAACAATGCAAATCAATGGGTGGTGATTCCGATGTTTTTTTTTTAAATTTCCAAGTGCATCCAAGAATGGAACGATGATCCTCACTTGACATATCTTGACATCCATATCTGGAACTCGTTCCACGCATTTGGGATATGTCACTGTTGACATCCATAATGTATGAGAAACCTTGGATGGGTACCAGTTGGTGCTTTAATCTTATAGTATAAGGGGGAATCAATACTAGCAACCCAAGAATATGTAGTTGCAGACTATCTATAGGAATCTAGGATTAGGCATGTTCTTTTTTTCCACATATGTGGAGTATTCACATGCGTTGAGGTTCATATTTGTTTCGTGAAAGTTCAAGCCATATCATAGTGAGGTCGCATGAATCCCCCTTCTGAATCCCCCATGAATTGCCCCAGGAAATGATTGAAACCATCATTTAAGCCATCATTTTCCATCATTTACCGCAAATGATTGGGATCATTTCTGTTTTTTCCCTCATTCCATGGAAACAAGGATGCTAAATGATGGCTAAATGATGGCCAACGGCCAAACATGATCAAATGGGCTCAAACAATGATTTCCCACCCTGTATCCCCATCAATGATGGAATCAAAAAGTTGAAACCACTCACCAGAGGCTGTTCACAAGATCGTCGCGGGGCAGACGATGCCTTGAAGGCACTGTTCTTCGCTCTTCGCAACAGCTCCTTGATGGGACCCCTTGCGCTGCGCGTCCTCGTGCGATCTGGTGAGCACGGCAGCTGGGAAAGCTGATCTTCATGTAAGGATGAGTCAAAACCATTCGAAACCTATTGATTAATTAAGATGTGTATTTTAGGTACCTAGGGCACCAGGCGTTTGATCCATAATCATTTAAGATAATTTAAGTGAAAGGCGACAATTATGTAAAAGTCATGGCATTTTGTCATTTTGTAGGTTTCCATATTTTTCCATCCATTTTTGGGTCATGGAACCTCAAAATAAATGCCAAATGTAGCCGGCAAACGCCCGTCGCCGATGGTTATTAGGCGTCCTAGATCCGAAGTGCAACCATTTCAGCTCTTGTTTGGCCACTTGCTTTTGCTGCTAGGGAGTTCTAGACATGCCAACCACACCATTAATTACACAAAATCTGTGCTGAAACAAATCCTGAAGCTGCCCTTGCCTGGGTCATTTTGTGCCCCTCGTCGAACTGCACAGTTCTTCACCTGTGCTGCTCCCGCGGCCACAGGTCCGCTTTAGAACTTAGCAACGACTCGAGTTGAGAGAGTCGATGGCGCGAAAAAGACGGAGATCCATTGAGATGAAATGATCATGCAATTCTTTCACCGTTGCTACAGCCACCCTAAAAAAGAAAACAGCGTTTCTTTTTTGGGGTTGCGGAGTAGAAAAATGGCAACAATATCTGTGTCATTTTATGTCAATCTGGGAGCTCCTGGCATTTTTCCCATAGGAATCCAGTCTCTTGGCGTCTGGAAGTGGGGTAGCCCGAAATTTCCTGCTTTCTCATGGGTTTATCATCATGTTCTCTATGAAAATTATTTCAAAGTTGGGGATCTCCAGCATATCCGATATCCCTTGGACAAACCCAAATTATTCTATTGTTGGTTCTGTATGTATATATAATTGTATATAATTATACACTATATATATATATACGTATCACATATCCCATTCTGTTCCCATTGTTCCCAAGTGATAATGAGGGCATTAGATCGCATTTTGAATATATATATATATATCAGAAAATTATACATAGTTTATTTTGTATTCACTATATTATATAGATAGAAATGTGTTTGCAGAATGGTATAGATTTGCGTTTTCGCTATATTTTTCAGGTTTCCAACTCTTGCGTCTTTTTGGGGCTGCCATGAAATAAATAAATAGATTGGGATGAACTATAACAACCTCAGTGTAACGTCACTGGAATAGTGGTTAGGACAGGATTCCGGGAATCATCCCCATAGGTGGCAGTATGACAACAGCTATTTTGTGATTTTTCCCATCATATTGGGAATGTCATAATCCCAACTGACCAAATCTATCATTTTTCAGAGGGGTAAACCTCAACCACCAACCAGACACTGTATCCTCCCAAAATCGCACGTACGTTGACCCTGCGAGTCCAGGATCGATCATGGCACCAGGATGCCATGGTTGCCAAGTTGGAAGCCCTGCGGGAGGACGGGAATCCATGGCTTGGGGGGTTCACCAAGAGAACATGGCGATTTTTCAGCAACACAAATGGTTGACCAACCTAAATGGTGGTTAGTAGCCGTAACTATCCACAAAATGACTTCGGTTCAGATTGATCGATTAGAACATAGCTGATCCCGAATTCATGGTTTGATTTTCTTAACGTGATTACGTAGTGTTTGTGTGAACAATTTCGCGGGTTTTTTTGATGTTTTTTGGACTTCTTGGTGCCAAGAAAAGATGCACCCAAATGATGAACCACCATGATGTGCCATGATTCACCGAGAAAAAAAACTCCATGGATTCCCATGGGATTTCGCGAGATTCTGTTAGCTTCATTTTGCATTGGGTGATTCCTTCTGGATCTTTGGTATATGGATTGGTATGGTCGTTTACCAGAGGGTTTTTTTGAACAACTGCTTTTATCATTTTTATTTGCGCAGATGTGGTAGTCTTAGGTGAAAAACGCCATCGGGGGTGCCCAACTTCAGGTCCTTTGGATGTGTTTTTGTTTCATTTTTGTATGGCCATTAACATTCTCTGATTGGTGGCTTCAAACATGGCTTTTATTTTCCATAATATATGGGATGTCATCCTTCCCATTGACATTCATATTTTTCAGAGGGGTTCAAACCACCAACCAGTTCTATTTTTGCACCCTGGCCATTGAAGTCCGTATGTTCGGATTTCAATGGTGCGCAGCGCAGCAGGATGTTCAGATGAGCGCTGCCAGAGAGAAAGACTTCGTGAATGAATTGGGGGAGCTGCGGCGGAAGGTGGAAGGCACCATGGTTTCTGGGTGCTGGTGATGCTATCAGCATACTGGCAGGCGTTGATATTTACATCTCTGAATCGATCTACCGACACATATGTATATATTGCCGGAGATACCCAGGTTTATAGATACTGTATATGTGTAGAGTGGTGTGGATATGAATGTCTACTTGTTAAACTGATGCAGTTTTCAACCAAGTGGTTTCTTTTAAAGGCGCAGTCTGGCAGAAGGAAATCCGATTCGTGAAATCATGAGACATCGACCCTGGCAGCCCTATCTCGGTAAAAGATAACTTGATATGCACTTGTTTGGGCTGAAACCACCAGCCAGGTATACCATTCCTGATATTCCCACATAGAATAGCGCTGCTATTCGAAAGATACGGCGCATATGGTGGTGCGCCGGCGTAAGCATTTGCCAGCGAATTCGTTCCAAACATGGTGTATTGAAAAGTTGGTGCCACAAAAAGGCCAGCAATTCCTAAGTGTAGAATCATAGGCTCGTGAATAATATATCACGACCTGCAATCGACACCACCAAAGTTGTCGGAAAGGTCGGTAGGATTCCAGCCACTTGAGGTATGATGAACGTGGCAAAGCCAATCAACAAAAACAACTTAAGTGAATGCTCATTGAACAAACGACAATGTCAATATGTAAATATTAGTCAATCTTTAAACCAACATTATACCAACATTACTATAGTATATGTCACTACATATTACTCCACATGTAGAGCATATATCAATGTTCCATCGATGTTGACATCAATTAATTACTATACTATACGGCTGCACTGGGACCATGCCAGTCATCAGAGAGCCACAGAGAGCTACGGTCATTGCCCGGTCTCACCCGTAATTTAACGATATTTAACATAGCTAATTATGGACAATGACCATTTTTAAGAACGGTAAATCCTCATCAATCATCTATACCCTCTGGTTTTTTAACATAGCCATGGAAAATGGCCTATTTATAGATGATTTTCACATTAAAACTTCCATTTATAAGGGATTTTCCATGGCTATATTAAATAACCAGATGGTAAATGGCCATGTTCATCCATTTTCCATCATGTTTGATGTGCAAAAATTTCAGCATTTGTAGATCATTTTCCTATAGGGGAACCGCTTGGGTTTTCCACACACCCAGGCCGTTACGAAGACCTTTCAGCTCACTACCGGCACTTGGACAAGGCCATTTCCGAAATAGGGGCCCCAAATTTCCCACGGTAAAATAGGCATTCTTTGATAGTTTATGTTGTTTATGTTAATAGTCTGATGTTTTTTGATGTTTATTGTTTATTTCATGTTATTTGCTTTGTTTCTGCTACAGTATCCTTCAACTATTTGCTGCTATTTAGTTCTTATTGCATTTGAGTCTATAAATTGCATATAGAACAGGATAGTAGAGGTGGAGTTATGACCCCAATCCTCCATACATATTTTGATTTTGTAAAGTGCATATCGAACATTATAGTAGGGCTAGAGTTATGACCCAAGCCCTCCATATAGATTTTGATTATGTAAAGTGTATATATAATTTCACACACATATAATATGTCACATATATATATTACATATATATATATTGGAGCAGTATAGTAGGGCTACTTTTAGTATTCTTCTGTTTCTTTCTGGGGATCTCTAGGGATTTCTGGGGATCTCTAGGGATCTCTACGGTCTCTATGGAAATCTCCAGGGATCTGTCTGTAAAGATCCCTAGGGATCTTCAGATCTCTGCCTTTGGGGATCTGGGGAAGTTATAACGACCTCACCTCACTGGAATCATGGTTAATAAATGTTAATAAGGGAAAACATCCCCAGCCATGGCCTTAATTGGGGTTAGTGAAATATTATAATTTACCCAGAAATATGAGAAACAAGGACTACAATTAATCCCCGGAAAATCTCACCGTAAGAAGTTGGAGCTTTGGAGGAGGGAGGAGCCCAAAGAAAAAACACTGTATGGAGGGAAGGGGGGTCGATTTTTTTTTTTCGACCCCCCCTCCTCCAGGCTATGTACTACATTTAGTATTGGTTTGATTTTTATTTTTAACTCTAGATCTTTAGGGATCCCTAGAGATCTGATCTCCAGGAATCACTGGGGATCCTTACGGGATCTCTTTAGGGATGTCCAGGGATCCATGCCGGAGATCTCTGGGAATCTATGGAGGTTTTTGAGGAATCACCTTAAGAGAAAAAAGTTACACAGAAGAAAAGAAGAATGACCTTTGTCACTACAAATCTTAACAAAGAAATCATAACCTTATGCTCAAATGGTTTGCAGTGTGTGTGTGTAAGATTCTACACGTTAATCTTTACATGATACAAAGGGACGTATTCAAGGTCTGTAAAATAGATGATCAAATAATATGATATACAAGAAACACTACGTTTTCAGAAACGTGGCAAAATGGGGCCCCTATTTCGTCATTTTCTGACATTGTCTGACATGAAAAGGATGATTGGGGGTACCCGCATTTCGGGAAACCTCCAAATACATAGATAAATATAGTTAGTATTATTCTAAAGGATATCCTGTTATAATAATCTGTTCTATAATATGTTGGGGGTTTCTATTGTTTTTTTCCCCCAGAATCCCATCATTCTTTGCTAAGTGGCGCAGGATGTCCGGACTTCTCTCCGTGAGTTCCGGAGCGAATTCTCCGAGGAGCAGCAATCGTCCGTGAAGTGCTTGCAGGACGGCCGTGTCGAAAGGGCTAGACCCAACAGTCATATTTAGACCCAACAGTCGTGATGATGATGATGATGATGATGATGATGATGATGATGATGATGATTAATGTTACCATATTTTTTGAACTTATTTTACTTTTTGATGATGATGATGATGATTAATGTTACCATAATTTTTGAACTTATTTTACTTTTTGATGATGATGATGATGATTAATGTTAGCATATTTTTTGAACTTATTTTACTTTTTGATGATGATGATGATGATTAATGTTACCATAATTTTTGAACTTATTTTACTTTTTGATGATGATGATGATGATGATTAATGTTACCATATTTTTTGAACTTATTTTACTTTTTGATGATGATGATGAGGATGATGATGATGATTAATGTTACCATAATTTTTTGATGATGATGATGATTAATGTTACCATAATTTTTGAACTTATTTTACTTTTTGATGATGATGATGATGATTATTATTATTATGATTATGACTGGCGCACTGATGACAGTCTTCCAGTGCCAGCTTCGTTCTCAGGATTTCCGCCTGTCCATTCGGGACTTTCGAAGTGACCTCGATGAGCAGCGTGAGTCTCTGAAGGTCTTGCAGGCCCAGTGGTGATTTTGACCTCAGGGGATTGATATCGAATGAAAAGGCCCAAGCGGCCGCAAAAATATAGGCACAAAAAGAGGCATCCAGCACCCAACTGGGAAGCCTCAACTTTCTTTTTTGTATATGATAATATATATATATGTATCTGCTCAACAGTGTGTGTGTGTATTATTTCATTGTTTGACGCTATCTTCGTTGCTTACTTTGATCACTTAGATGATCTTTGATGTTGAATTTTTGTGACCTTTCCCCTCCAACATCTGAAGGGAAATCAACCCGAAATAATCCGAAAATAACAACCAAAATACGATGCCCTGGTTAGGGAGGGAACGATTCAGAGCTACGGTATCTGTATTTCCTATTAGCCATGGGGAGCCGTTTGGAGTAACGAATAGAGTTTCCCAACCACATGATTATATATATATATATTTGATAATCATATATTTGATGAATACTACTGTATAACATTTGTTATTTTTTTGTTCTTATTATATGTATATATCTATCTGCACAAACCATCCCAAAAAAAATCCCACTTTGACCCTGAATCATCGGCAAATTTCAGTGGAACTGAGGGGCCTTTTTTGGGCTTTGAGCCCCACAGGAGACGGACCTGATGAAACACCTGGGAGATGCCCGGCAAGTGCTAGCGGATTTGCAGGAGGCCAGCTGGCTGCTAGTTACTAGGCACGTTTATGGATGTTTCAAAACTATGGCTGGTGGTTTCACATGTTTTCATATGTTTTAATCAGTTTCAATATGACCATAGAAATGGGATGGTGATCCCCTATGACAATCGTTGATGTTTCAGAGGGATGTTTCAGCCATCTCCGAAATCGATGGCGATGATCCATCGTTCGACCATTTTTGGTTGAACGAAGGCGCTGGCGAAAGAATAAGCAACCTGGTTGGTGGTTTGGAAGATGTTTTTTTTTTCATTTTCCATTTCATATATGGGATGTCATCCTTCCGACGAACTCTTATTTTTCAAGATGGTTACCCTCTGGTAATTTAACATAGCTATTGAAAATAGCCCATTTATAGTGGATTTTCCCATGGAAAATGGTGATTTTCCATAGTTATGTTAGTTTACCAGAGGGTATTGCACATTATTGCACCACCAACCAGAGAACATTCAAATATCTGAGATGGCGCGGGATCCGTGAAATCCAATTGCCAGGAGCGATCTTGGCACCACGAGGCTATGAAGAAGCTAAGAGAAAGCCGGGAGGATGCAACGGATCCCGGGGATGTGTCATGCGGTCAAAACTGGGCTGTATTCCATTCAAAAACATCCCCAGTTGGAAAGGATCATCACCAAATTTGGGGGTCACACCAACAACGCAATTCTTCTGAGATGATATTTCATCTCTGCCACTATTTTTCGAGGAGATCCTGGGAGAATCTGAGACATAATCTAGTTATAGTAGCTATTTGCAAAGCTTCCCCGCATCCAAGCTGATTCTGGTGATGGGTCCAGGAGCAAAAGAAGAGTTATGAGGAAGAGGTATCTGATCTCGACAAGCGTGGCTTGACATGACTTCGGGATGTTGCTGAAGGTAAGATGGCAACAAGCGAAGAATGCTAGGATTACCAATGCCTGGGAAGAAATCACCGAGTTTAAGGCCAAAATCTAGCTCGCCTTCAGCTTGTCTGCTGATCTGAGATGGCGATGGAGAGAGAAAGGCCAAGATTTTGGTATATGGTATCTTCAATGACGTTCTTCAATACGATCCATTATCACCTTTGGCGATCCATTCATGAATGAAAGTCCCTGGGACCTCACATCGCCCCCTAGGGATTCAAGCGTAGCTTTGGACATCGGCACCCGATAAAGGTCAAAAAATTACTTGGAATCAAGGTGGCAAGGGAAGGCAAAAAGACAAAGTACGGCACAAAAATCACGACAGGTCATGAATGTGTTCATTTGGTCAAACAATGCGAAATATCCTACCAATTTTTATGGGTTTCTAACCCATATACAACCCATATATCATTATTACCATGGTATAGCATGGTTTTTAAATCCACCAGTGCGCCGAGGTAGCGAGAACTTCCGGCAGATGTTGCGGTCTGCTTTGCCAATGGAGCTGGACAAGCGTGCCCTGGTGGATGTTGAGGTATACCATGATGGTTATTAATGGGTATAACTATGCTCATTATATATACCTGGGAAACCCACCTATGTAAAAAGATCGCCCTCGGTTGAAAGAGCAATAATTGTCGCTCCCAAGATGGAAGATTGCCGTTTCAATGAAGAAACGCTCGAAGGGTAGCTTTAAAGTTTATCAACATCCTCCCGTGCAGGTGACACATCACTTTTTCATCTAGAGCAGGCATCCAAGTCCAAGTGCTCCTTCATGTGACGTCTCAGGAGTATAGCTGCTTTGATGAGATAAAACTCAAGAACTCTTTCTGTGATCACTCTCGTGTCAACTTTCCTCCCCAGCCGACATATTCTTCCCATCAGGTCCTCGTTCTGACTACAATCCCATAAGACTGGCGACGCTATAGAATCATTTCCGCTCTCCAACTGATACAAAATTTCCAGCAAGACATGTTTCTGGAAGTGAACTTTCGGCTTCAAGCTATAGAGGCAATGACTAGTGTTCATGCAGTAAGTATGAAGCAAGCCAAGAATAGCCCTGAAGGAAACCTTGCCCTCGTTCGTACAAGTTCGCACCACACATGCGGCTCAGCAGCGCGCCATGTGTGTACAGTAGGTTAAACCAATCTGTTGCTAGGCGCGAGGCTGGCAGGATGACAGACAAAACCTCTCGTCGCTGCGGGTCAGTTTCTTCATGAATAAACCCAGCACAAGCTGTATCAATCCACTTGCAAAGAAGGGTTGTGTCACTTCCTTTTGTGTTGGCCCAAACGTAGCTTGAAGCATTCTTGTAGTTGAAGAGCTGCGTGGAGAAGCTTCTCAAAGCTGGGGTGTGAGATGTTGTTGTGGCCCACAGAGAAAAATGGCCGTGAGCAGCAATGAGCTTATCAGGTAGCTGGCCACTTTGCCCAAAATAGCCCCATCGCACCCAAAGAAAAATCGTACTGGCTGCGAAATCCCGGTACAAACCCAAACGTAGATTGTGGAAAGAGTCATGGCGGTAGATCAGCTCAGGCCTTGTTGAATCAAAGGGGATTTGATGCAAGCAAGGAAGTCTGTTTGGTGAGTATGGTCGCTCAACATGCAAAGTAGCCTCCCACACTGGGTGCTGGGAAATATCTTCAAAGGCTCGGTCCTGGCTGCTTCCTGCAAGGCACTGGTGGCAGCAAGCAGCGTCTCGGACCTTTCCTTTATTTTCAAATCCTCGCGTGAGTGAGGCTATCTTACTCACCCACTTCAAGTCGCCTTTCGACCCCACAACCACCACCCGATAGTGATTTCCATTGACAGCAAAGCCATCGTGGAACAAGAGTCTCAAACTGTCCCGACAGAAATGTGATCAGCTCAAGCGTAAGCATCTTGTAAGTTTTCCATAAGGTGCCGGGCAGCAAAAACATTGGCCAGTGCTGTAAGCATGAGTGACTCTTCATGTTGCTACGCAGCAGACTTTTGAATGGGTGGCCTTGGGCACACTGGGGAGACCATGAGCCAGTAGGAGCACAAGCAGTGCAAACTGATGAATGGCCCTTGATACCAATAGGACTTTCCCAGCTGAAAACAGTCGTGTTTGATCGCCGCTTGCCGCGCCCCTCATCTCCATGTAGGACAACAGGGATGAGCTGTTCCATTGGCACGCCAAGAGAGAATGCAGCATGTGTGGGGTGGTATTGTTGGTACCCCTCCCAAAAAGCAAGTAGCGACTCACGGGCTTTGCATGCATCCGGTGTGCCAAACACAACCACTGGGTGGCACCGCACCAAGTACTCAATCAGCTTCTTTGGGTGCAAGTAGTGAATGGGTAAAACATGGTAAAACAGAGCCATCCTCACAATGGTAATTGTACACATCAAGTTTGACACGCCAAGCAATACCCCATCTTCTTATGCTTCGGTAAGCATTTCTAGCAACATTTGAATGCCCACTGCTTGGTTTAGCTCCTGGCTCCTGGCTCACGAGGTGCCCTGGCTCCTGCTAGCCCCCGCCTGATGCCGTAGGATAGGAGCCGTTTCAAGCCCCAGCTGTCAGATGCCACAACGCCTTGGTCACGTGGAAGTCCACAAAGCTCTTGCCACAAGATCACCTGGAAATCTGTTTGGACACAAGCAATAGACCCCAAGGAAAAAGCAAGAACCAATAAATATTTATTATGTATATATATATTTATGTATTGATATATCAGGATTTTATGTTTATACTGTATATAACACACACATATATATATATACACCTTTGAGGATGGATCGAAACTCTGCGGCTTATTTCCACTCCCCACCTCTGTGCGGACAAGCTGTATGGGCACGGCCTGTGGCAGCTCGGTCTGGCAGGCCCACCATTCAGCGAGAATCTCAAGACACCGGATGTTCAGGGCCATCGCCCCAGTGGATGCCACGCCAACAACACGGGGGTTGGCTCACACCAAAAGGCTGCCATGTGTGCGGGCCTTCGCCCTGAGACTCGTTTCGCTCTCCCACAAGTCTGAGAGTGCCAGGGCTGATTGGTCACCCATCTTGCCAAATCGCAACCTAACCTGAACTTCTCGGGCCTAAAATGCCTGATGAGATCCAACTTGTTGCACCATAAGATCACAGATGCTTTTCAAGTGAAGCTGGTAAGGAGGTGAAATTAAAACAACTTGAAAGAATCAACGTGAAAGCGTGTCCAACGCCATCCCCCAGCTTTCCCAGCCAGCACTAAAACATGCTGGCAGCACTGTGAGGCTGGAAGCCGAGCTCACGGCCCATGATCCGCGGAGGGCATTCTTTTGACTGGTGATGACTGATGCTCAAAAGTTACGTTCTTCATCAAGTTCGTCAATCAATTTCCGGGAAATGTTTGGAAGTTGAGCCGAAGCCTCTGTAGATTCCAAACGGTCGTGCAAGGCAAAGTATCAATGGCCATTCCAGGATCCTAAATTGGAGGTACCTACCATATATAAGGCCTATATAAGGCCTATGTAGTTGGATATCCCCAGAAAATATGGCCTTGTATGGCACAGTACCTCCATTTTAGGATCGTGAAATTCCCATTGAAAGTATGACACAGGTTGTGGGGAGTTGTGGGACCTTGGGGAGTTGTGGGGTGTCACATAAGAGAAGGATGGCCATTCTCAAACCTCACGGAAAAGTGGATAGCATTCTCATGCCCAGTTCCCAAAAGATACCTGGAGCCAGGCTTTTGGTTCCATCACTGGGACTGCCAGGCGTCAGAATCTGGAAAATCATAAAAAGTATAGAATCGCTCTCATGCCAAAATTGCCACTCTCAGCCTGAAAAGGCAGTCTGCAAACGAAGACTAAAATTTTGCATACATTGGAAGACGTAGGTATATATTATTGTCATAACTATGGTTATAACTATGGTTATGACGTTATTGTTATAACTTTGGTTAACCATGGTTAAACTTACATGTTATGGTGGTTTCCAAAGCAAAATGGTGGTACCCGGTACCCCCTTGCATCATCCGAGTCATGGATGACCATGACTCAGTTTTGAAAATGGGTCAATACATGTCAAATAATACATGACATGTCAAGAAAGACCCATTGTTCAGATTAAAGAGATTGAATGCCCTGAATGGGCCCCAAGATGTGTCAATTCCTTACTTTGTACATCTTTACCCCATGTTTCTGGGGTGTTTTTCATGTGAGCGAGGGAAAGGACTGCCTGCATCATTGTTGGGTCATCTTACGAATCGCATTCAGCCGCCGCCCTTGGAAGGGTTGTTGTTTTTGGCATGTGACTGAGCAACATGTTGTTGACATGTTGCACATGCTCGCTTATGCTCAACAGGGGGGAGTGGGTGTGGGGGGGGGCCTGATAATGTGCTTGACGACTTTAAGACAGGGTCCACGGAACTTGTTGCCTTTCTTGACTACGCTTTGAGACGTGAGGAAAAAGAAATGGATGAGCCAGTGGCGGATTGCACTCGAAACATGAAAAGCAGCACTCGAAGATCAAAACTGACTCACTGCGCAGGCAAAACCCACATTTTTGAACTTGAGTCACACGCCTGCCAATCGAAATGGATATCCATGTTGCAAACATTTTTGAACAAGCCCCACAAATACCAGCTTTTTGCCTCTTAGCCTCGAAAATCTCAATTTCAAATTTGTCACCGTTACAAGGGCAGCGAGTCAACCGGTTGCCAGTGGGTTTTCCAAATTTCGGGGTTGTAGAATCCAGGATTCTCATGCACAGTGATTTTATGTCATTTTGATCTACGCCAGGCCTTTGATCCACCGCATGTATATCTATGTATTTATTTGTATATGCCTATATATATATGTGTGTGTGAGAGATTATGTGTATGATAAATCACATATAAATACATTTACATTTAAGTAATATAATAATAATGTGTGTACCATCGTATAATGCGTATGATCTGTTTTGCCGCTGCTGAACACCAGCATTCACGTTCTGAATTTGGACCGGTCTGTGGCCGGTTCTGTGGTGACCCATAGATCTTAGAGGAGGTGCCAATGGCACAATCGTTCTGCACAATGTATTTATACATGTACATATATTACAGTATCATATATTATCTATACACATATATAGATAATACATTCATTGATGTTTATTTATATTTGTTTATCATCATGTATATATATATATGTGTGTGTGTATGTATGTATACAGCAACTCAAAGAGAAAAAATGGAATCAATGCTGTGCCAGTGTTTTGTCGCTTGCGTGATAGTTTTCACTCACTGACTTTCAGCCGCAATGAGGTGATCAGAGCTTGACCAAACAAACCGAAGAACTCTTCGTTCTGCACTCAGTCGCTCTTCGGTGGTGTGTCGCCATGTTTGCCGCGTTTTCACACGCTGGACAGGAGAAAAATCAACTGGGAACTGCCTAAAACATGCAACCTCAAAAAAACATGCCGTGAACAATCTTATCCGGTTGGGGGTTTCACTTATTGTTTTTAAACCATAAGAAGTGATTATTGATTATTCGTGGGTCCGCCAACCTTGTTGGTGACATCCCATTATATATATATATGTATATATATATGTATATATATATATATTATATTATATATATATCTCTCTCTCTCTCTCTCCCCATGTTCCCCTCTGGTTATTTAACATAGCCATGGAAAATAACCCATTTATAGATGGTTTACTGTTCTTAAACATGGTGATTTTCCATGGCTATGTTAAATATCCCTATGTTATCCATATATATATATATATATTTGCCTAGTTAGATCTCCATAACATATCTATGTTATCCCCATGATAAACCCCCATGTTAAATATCCCCTTATATCCCCATTATATGTATATATATATATATATCCCCTAGTTAATGATTTTTCGTAACTCCAGCTTCGTTGATGAACCACTGCTGATCCCAGCAGTCAGGAGAAGCTGCAGTCCTGGACTCAAGGTGGGTTGCCGCAGGGGTTGGACTCGAGGTGTTGGCTTTGGCCGTGACCAGTAAAAATGGTGGGTTAAGCATTGAATTCCATGGGCCGCATCAAATCCTTTCAGTCCCCATTACCCCCTTTCATTTTACATGAACCTCCAGAAAAGGTTTGCAAGATGATCTGGTTGGTGGTTTGGAACATGAATTCTATTTTTCCATATATTGGGAATAATGATCCCAACTGACTTTCATGTTTTTCAGAGGGGTTGAAACCACCAACCAGAAAAACAAATATTATAAAATGTATGGTGAGTTATACCATCAGGAATAACGATTTTCACCATCAAAACCAAGATTGAAACATCAAACATAGGGAACTAGTCACGTCAATGAATCATAGATATGAGTTTGTTTGGAAATGGGGTATGGTCCAATTGATCGCCATCAACTAGTGGGGAAAATTGATGCTGTATACAAATGTGTCCGAAGAGGATACTATGCTCATGTACATCAGGGGATTGTCACGTCATGTCGCAGCCTTGTGGCCCAACAAAAATGTCCAGCACTTTGGGTGGCTATGCGGAGCCATCAGCTGGTTCCAAGCTACCGCTGCTCAGGGGGGGGTACAAAGCTGGTGCTGCACCACCATGCTGAAGCGTTGTGACACTGTCCTGCACTTATGTTCCAATAGATTTACCCTCTGGCTATTTAACATAGCCATGGAAAACAAACGATTTATAGATCGTCAGTTCTCCAGGGCTATGTTAGTCATAACCAGATGGTACATGCTGCATGGTTTCTCCAAGGAATCCCAGTCTCTGAGGGCGAAGTCTCAGTATTTGCCTCGGTCTCAAAGCCTGAAACGTTTTACAAACTTGGCCAACCGGCTGTACAACCAGACAACCAGAGCCTGAAATGTTTGACCTTGCCAACCAGTCTGCAAAGCTTGACTCTTACTACCGCAAAAGCCTGAAAGGGGTTGACCTTTCCAAGCAACCTGTGCAGTTTGACCATTGGTTCTATTGGTTCTGGCTTCAACCGAAATCTGGAAGAAGTGTTATGGCCAGCCTTCAGAGCTTGACCTTCCATTTTGATTTTGACCAGACCAGGCATACGCTGGCCGAGCAACTTGCACACTTTGACCGGCCGCGATTTCAACCACAGCCTGGGAGGAGTAGCATGGCCAAGCAACCTACAAAGTTTGACTCTTGGAGCGAAGTTCAACCAGAGCCTCGAAGGAGTCATCTTCCCAAGCATTCTGCTCAGCTTGACTTTGGGTGCTGATTTCAACAGGAACCTGGAAAAGGTAGTGTTGCCAAGCAACCTGCCAAGTTTGACTCTTGGTCTCAATTTCAACCAGAGCTTCAAACACGTGATTTTTCCCAGCTTGCAGCGCTTGACTTTTGGTGATAATTTCTGGAGTGACACAATCCCAAGCAGCCTGCTCAATTTGACTTTTGGAATGTTCAACCGCCTGGAAAGAGTGATCTTCCCCACTTTGCGCAGCCGAATCACCAGCATCGGCGGCGGATCCGCGATCGCGTCCTGTTTCACTCTGAGAGATGGAGGATTCTGATGGCATTGGCAAAGGGCACTGGTTGGCCTCAAGGTTCTGACAAAGAATGATCCTTGGTTTGGAGGTTTTGGCTTTTGACAGTGACAAGATGTCAAGATGTATATTTCTCATATTTCTCCTTGTCCATGTTTTTTTAAATAGATGCCTATGCAGCCTATGCACAGAGAAGACATGCAGCTGAACAGCTAATGCAGCTGTTTGCAGCTCTTCATCATCCAGGTGCATCCACCTGGATCCACAGCCAGGTCTGTCATATGTAATGAATCTATGGTGATTATCTATGGGATCCACAGCCTGGAACATGTTAGTTGGTTTTAAACATATCTTATTTTCCACCCTAGCTGGGATGATGATCACAAATTTCTTTTCAGGGAGATTGACACTGTTGAAACCGCCAAGCGGATTATAACATTTTTGGGTACATCCCAAAAAAATCAGACTATATCCCCATTCTTCCTATTTAGATCCCTATTGAAACCACCAACCAGATATACACATTGGTTCAAAACAAAACATGATCTATCGAATATACATCTAGACAATTCTAGACATATAGTTACCATAAACCATGGTTAACCACTAGTTATACCATGTGAATGTGGGTAGCCTCATTTTTTCATCCAGGACAACTTGATGCATACCTTGACCAAGCTCGGCTGCTAGACCAGGACATGGAGATCGGCATTGGGATTTCATCCAATTTCATGGGATTTGTTGGGATTTTTTCACGGATATATAGCGATGAAAAAATGCCAATGAATGGGGATTATCTTGTGAATTATATGAAATAGTGATTAGCCATATTTTTCACTTGGCAATATTATATAATCACTATATTTTTTATCACTATTGGGGATTATATAGTGTATCACTAGTGTGAATAAAAAAATCACTTTTGGGGATTATATAGTGATACACACTTGTACTTATTATGTTAATGCCCGGCTGCCCACCCCTTCCTTTTGGGGATGGTCAAACTCAGCTTTCGCCCAGACATCTTGCGACACGGCCCGTCTACGGGGTGCGGTCAGCGGTCAGGCTACAGGTGACTTTCACAAGAGGTGAAACATGAGTCATGATGTTGCATCTGTACGTTTTGCCTAATTTCTTTTGTTTTTAGACATCTTTGCAAACTAGTTAATGTTAGCTAAACACATCCGCAACAACACTTCCCCAACATCGGTGACACCGGTTTGGGATATTGCTGCAGAGATTTGAAACTACCCTCTGGTGTCATCAAACATGGAAATCGCTGGGAAATCCCGGGAAAATCCATGGAAGAATTGATCCGGGAAAATCAACAAAAAATCCGGGTTGCTATGTTTGTTTTCCCGGGTAAACCATGGTATACCAACTTACTGAAACCACCAAGACCCAGACGAGTGAGAAAACCAGCACACTTCCCATGGCGTTCTTGGCCCGTCCGGCGCTTCCGCCGTCGCACCTGGCTAATTGCCATGGCGATCTGCGATCCGCTCGAATGAGGTGCCAAGGGGAAACTATGGTAAACCTGCGTGAATGTGGTTTGGAAGTCTAGGGTATGTGTGTGTATAAACAAATAGATAAATATAAAGAGAGATGTATATATAAATATATATATATAATATTTAGATAACTGTTATATATTTACATATGTACGAACATATTCCTTTCCATGTCTATATATATATATATGTGCTTGTATTCCATCTAAGGACTAAAGGTCCATAACTGTCCAGTTGTTACAAGCTAGGAGTATTCATAATTCGTATCATGGGGAGCCTGAGTTTTAGTGGAAAGTAGTCTTCCAAACCCTTTCTTTTTGGGTGACTACGTTGATTTTCGGGATGGGATGGGACTATAATCTCTATTGCTAGATGAATGGGTTCTATAATTTGTAGAGTTTGATGGAGATACGTACATTATTTGACAAGAATCTGAAATGTTCCGTTTTTCATGACTTGTCAATCCCTTTTTGACACATGGATTATCTTAGCAGCATACCCCCCCTTCTGTTACTAACTTTAGTCATCTCATAAATGGATATCAGTTGGATAATATGCCCAGCTGAAAATTCACTTGCTTGCTCAGCGTCTGATATTGGACATGCCAAGCTGCAAAAAAACAGTGCCATACCCTCTGGTAAACTAACATAACTGTGGAAAATCACCGTTTTTAATGGGTATTGTAAATCCACTATTTCTATGGCCATTTTCAATAGCTTTTTTTGTGTTTACCAGAGGGTATCATATCAATCTCCAGCGATTGCACCATGCATAAATGCTGTTTATGTGGGGCTTTCTGAAGGACCGATGAATCATCAGTATGGAAGCACCACATCCATACAATTCTAGATGAACATCTGGGACCCCTTCAGTAAATTAACAGTTCGACCCTGGTAGAAAACGGGGTTGGAAGATTAGTGAAACCACGAAAAATTGGTGATTTTCTCATTGGATGATCCACCCCTCAAAGGTTATAGTCTTGATTTATGTCTAAGAGTCCAATTAAAACATCATGGTTACCCTCTGGCTATGACTAACATAGCCATGGAAAATCACAATTTTTAAGAACAGTAAACCATCTATAAATGGGCAATTTTCCATGGCTATGTTAAATAACCAGAGGGAAAACCCCTAATTCCATCTAATTCCAACGGATTATCATCATGGTTACTTGGACGTGCGGGCCCCACGTGGTTTATGCTCCATTAATCTACCCTCTGGTGATTTAACATAGCTATTGAAAATGACCCACTTAGTTCGTTGATTTACCTATTAAAGATGGTGATTTTCCATAGCAACTGTCAGTTTACCAGAGGGTAACCCACATTTCATCCCATCTAAGTGGGGATATTCCACTAATCTAAATGGTTCTAAATGGTTCTATGGATCCATTTAATCCATATATCATCATATATCCCTTATATAACCCATTAAAAAAAACATTGCCCTCTGGTAAACTAACATAGCTATGGAAAATCACTATTTTCATAGGTAAATCAACGAACTGAATGGGTCATTTTCTATAGCTATGTCAGGTTACCAGAGGGTAAATCCCATTAAGATCCCATAGAATCTGCCATGGCAAGGCCGGGCCGTCGGCAGGGCCGGCAGGGCCGCGATGGTCGCCGTGGTGTTGCCGTGGCGTCCGCGGTGGCGGCGGCGTTGGAAGAGCCTTGGTGACTGACCTGCTCCGCTGAAGATGGTACGGAATGACATGGGGATTACATGGGATTACCCTCTGGTAAACAAACATAGCTATTGAAAATGGCCATAGAAATATTTGATTTCTCCATTAACAATTGTGATGTTCCATAGTTATGTTAGTTTACCAGAGGGTACCACACAGAGACACATATAGTATGTATATATATATATACATATACGTATATATGTAATTATATGTAATTATATGTAATTATATGTAATTATATATATATTATTTAATTATATTAAAATTCATGAAATGAGGGGATACGCTGCGGAACATACAAAGCCTTGGGGTTTGAAGTTATAGCCTTGAGTAAACATACAAAAAACTATGGACATTCCCGGCTTCCCTTTTGAAAATGATCGAGGTTTTCTGGTGGATTGTCCATATTTGTTTGTTGCTTTACTGGATGGTAGTCTAAGGATATTGAATGTTTCCCTGGATCTTGACCCCCGAAAGAACCTATCAATCAGACATGGTTTTTTCTCTATATCAACTCATCCTCCTTCACCTCTATCACCCTGCATCATGTAAATATACTGGGTAGCTACACCCCCACCCCAAGAAAAAAACACCAATCATCAAACAGCATAAACCCAAGATCAACCAGCTTTCAGAACCATACCAACCTGGAACAAAAGAAAATAAACCACAATCAACCACACCAAGCCACAACAAACCACTCAATTCTAGATTCCAATTTTCTGTGCGCTAAAGGGGTCTTGCCCTTGCTGCAAGTATGCGTCCATGTCCCTTATTAGAAATAGCACAAGTGGAAGTCATCAGTTTCCTGAAGGATGGTAGGCACAGCTACTGGGGACCTCCGACGGAAGCAATTCCCGGCATTCACTTTACCGTGCCATCTTCGTGGCATTCCAGTTGGTAGAACTATTGTCATAGGGTTTTATGGCTGGATAATCATGGATAACTATGGAGGATAACCATGAGAACAACATATATATCATAAACCATGGGCTAAGGTGTCCTTTTCCCATTGGTTGGTTGATTAATAGATGGGTTTGCAGAAACCCCTTTAACAAGAGGTTTCTATGATGATAGATGGGATTAACCAAACCGGCCCCTCCATTTTTTCGAAAAGGACACTATTGACTATTATACTATACATCAGCCTCCTGTCCTACAAAATGACTATAGGTATGGCCATTGAGGGTTGGTCGTCAACCAAACCCTCGTCGATACCTCGGCTGTACACAGCCGCGTAAAGGGCCCGTTATATCCTCGTGAAAAATGCACATACGAAGTTACCACATCACAACCAAAAATAAAGAAGCCATCATCCTTACCATGGTTCATTCCCCATTAGATCGTTATCCTTATTGAATGATCCAAAACTATCCAACCCCCTTAAATCCCCTATAATATAACAATAGATATATATATATATGTATATATATATAATACATCCTATATATATATATAATACATTATATATATATATACTCTATGTATATCCCCAATTGTGGGTTCAATCCCCAGAGGACGCAAAGCCCCTGAATAAAATCGTCATGAAAAATCACCAGTTCCAAGGATTCCAAGACCCCAAAACGAGTTCGCTAAGTTTTTCCGCACATTACTTGCTTCATTCTGTGGATGATAATGGGTGATTTTTTGAGGAACTCGTGAACTCGTGGGGTGAAGCTAAACAAACAAAGATTTCACTGGTGGCCCCTCATATTGTATTGATTGGTAGTATGATGATGGTTGGTGATGGTTAAGGATGATTACTGATATGGTGATATGGTGATGTGGATATATGGTAATCTGATATAATTATTGGATATGATTGGCATATGGGATAGATTTCATGGGGTGAAACTAAAGCAACTTACATCCTCATATATCCTTATTCCTCATCATATCCCCATGAAATCCCCAGGGTCCAAAACCACCATTCGAATCTAATACTAATTAATAGTATATAATATCTAGTGATAACCCATATATAGTGGAATCATTGGACTATTGATATATCTGAGGATTAATTTTTCATGATCTATTTCCATGATATCCGGATGTCTCCGAAGAAACGGGGGCGTACCTCATGAATAGCTGGATAAATCGGGCCACCCCAGGCCTGGAAGAGCGTCCGCAAACATCGCTACACACCACCTTCGGTCGAAGCCCACCTGCGGCAGACGGGGAAGGCGGTGGCGGAGCGTGGCCTGCCGGGGTCCCCGGGGTGGCCCAGATGGGATGCCCAGATGGGATGATTTCACATGGCAGAAGTTTCACCCTCTGGTTATGTCAAAATAGCTATTGAACATATTTGAACATGGCCCATTTAGTTCGTTGATTTACCATGATTTACCTATTAAAGATGGTGATTTTCCATAGCTATGTTAGTTTACCAGAGGGGAACCATGATGTGCCATGATGTGCCATGATTGATTTAAGATGATTTAACATGAATGACAGTTCAAACATTAGGATTTGACGATCAACAAAAAACATCTAACCCTTGAAAGTTTCGGTTTTTCATCCAGTGAAGGGATTTGATGGAACTGAAACCATGGCCAGATATGGATTTGTCTCATGCTCAATCCTGAGACATACCGCGGGTGCTATGTTGGGGGTTCTGTGAGGTTGGGCGGTAAGGGAATCTGGATGTCTTGAAGGATAAACATCTCGCAGGACTAGAGGACTCGCGTTTTATTTTGACAAATCCAAACGAAAGATGAAGGGGTCTCCCGCGAAGGATTCCAAGCAGTGATTAGAAATTTGCAGACTGCAACAAAGCTTTGTTTGGAAACCACGTCACAGCAGACGTTGATGGTTTCAGTATCTTTCAATCATGGGTACACTCTTGTAAACAAACATAGACCTCCAAAATGGGGAGAAAAAACGCGTTTAATAGCGAAACCCCATGGAGGTAGATCCACATAACAAGAACCGTTTCGCTCACTAATATATATATATATATTGTATATATTATAGACCTTGGACGATTTTCCCTGCCTCTAACAAACATAGACCTTGAAGCAGAGTGTGGCAGAGTGGATGAAAATTATGATCTATCTCGGGAGATAATATACCTTTGGACATAGACCTCCAAAAAATGTAAAGCATGATGAGGGAAGGGGTTACGTTTATCAGAATAATTTCACAAAGACACAACCAACCCATTGAGAAACATAGGCAGACCCTGGGGAGGTCTTTCAACAGCTCCACCCTCGAGGGCAATTCCTCGATTGGAGCCTCTTAATGTAGACATACCTAGGCCTTGTAGGTAGATTGAGAGGTTTGTTGAACGAAATTTCCAAAGCAGAATCCCTGAAACTTCAGACCAAAACTTGAAAACTAGCCTTCTAGTTTTTCTTTCAGACCAAAACCTGAAAACTAGCCTTCTAGTTTTCTTGTCATGTAACTTTCTTCAAACATCTTTATTTATCTGTGATCTTTTTGTTCCAGTAGGGGGGTGCCCCGCGAGATTTTGGATTTGGGATGAGCACTTAACATAGACCGCGTAGGTAGATTGGGAAGCTTGTTTAACGGCATCTCCAAAGCAGAATCCCTCAAAATTTTGACCAAACCGTTAAAAACGAATCTTCTAGTTGGTTTTGTTTTTTGTTTTTCTTTAACTAACTTATCTTTGACATTTTTGTGTTCCAGTAAGAGTTGCCCTTTGAAGCATTGCTCTTTGAAGTGCCAGCCGGATGTTTTGCCCTATCCAGAAACATAAACACTGAAATGGTGTTTTGGCAATTTTTGGCAAGAATGGTTCTTACTTTGGACTAGATTCTTGCAGCATTGCAGGGTCTATGTAAACCATACTTACAATGCTAGCACAGGAATTCCACTCAAGTACGGTGAGATTATGCAGGGTTCATGATGATCATGTTAGTGGGGTAAAGCAAGAATGCAACTTGTGCGGTCTATGTTATGCCAGTCCATTTTTCTCCATGAATTCCCAGGGTCTATGTGATCCTTGTTGGACCATGTTGGACCTTGCATGATTGCAATCTAAAAAACATAGCACCCTAACCCCATCCCAGGGTGTTATGTTTTTTTTTCCCAAAAACTTGCCCACAGTCTACGTTAAAATAAGAGAGAGAGAGAGAGTAATTAAATGTATTTTTTGGGGGTTAGGTGAAGCGCAGTGCAGAACATGGATAGACTAACAGCATCAACGAACTGCAGGTTCCAAGGTGGGCTTCGAGTATCCCCCAGGTTCCAGTCGGTGGACTGGTGGATCGATCGATAGGTTAAGTCAACAGGGGCAGCCCCAAAATGTGATGCCGTGTCATTATATTCTTTGTCCCCTCTGGTTATTTAACATAGCCATGGGAAATGACCCATTGAAATAGATGGTTTACCTTTTAAAAATGGTGATTTTCCATGGCTATGTTAAATAACCAGAGGGTATATTCTTTGTTAAAATTGTATGTTTTCAGACAAACCCACAGATCATATTGTTGGGTTGTTATTTGTCCCGGTCCCTTTTTTTTCCCTGTTCTATACCTAAGATATTCCTGTGATACCACAGTATAATGGTAAAACCCAAATACGTACTGATATATCCTTAGATATAGGTGTGGTTACCTAAGATATTCCTGTGATACCTTGCACATTACTATACCTTAGATACCCCTGGTTAATACTTGGTGGCTCATCCCACTTAGTAAGTGGGTTATAACCCCAGTTGTAAGTGGATTAACCCTACTTATCCCATTTATAACTGGGGTTATAACCCACTTACTAAGTGGGATGAGCCACCAAGTACCCTATACTAAACCCATGTTTAGTCGTTAAATCACCATCGCCAATTTGGCGGAGCTGCTTCCGCTCCGGCCTGAGGTGGAACATTGGTATGGACCTCCTGCAGAGGGCCTCTTGGCGTTTCAGGAATTGATCTGATGGGAGTTGATATGTCAGAAATCATCCCACAGAGCAATATATCATCATATACCCTCTGGTAAATAAACATAGACCCTGAAAATCACCAATTGTTAGAGGAAACTAATCTTCCAATTCCTATCTACCAGGGTCTATGTTAATTTACCAGAGGGTAACTGGTTGGTGGTTTGGAGTTTCGAACCATGGAATTTTATGACTTTCCATTCAGTTGGCAATGGAATCATTATCCCAACTGACTTTCACTCCATCATTTTTCAGAGGGGTAGGACTCAACCACCAACCAGATAATATATCCCATGGTACAGCCAATACTATTCATAATAAACCCATGGATATTGGTAAACTTTGGGTTTATTGAATATTCAATCAGATTATTGATAATAATATCCATTGGGGTTTATTATTGAATATTATTGAAATAATATTACAACCAGATAATAATCCCAATGGATTGGTAAAATTGAAACCGGAAAGCTCCACGATTTTCCGATCATGGAGCTTTCCGGGTGCAATTTTCCCAAGCAATCCATTGAGATATGAGATGTATCAACTGATGGGAATATGTATCAACTGATTCTGGGATGGGTCAAGTTACCTATGAAATTACCATATGTGGGAGAAATAAGTGTATGCGAACTGTTGTTGCTACGTATGTGTCCTTTTCTTGCTGTTTGCATACCGGCTGCCCTCAGGGCCGGAGCGTCCGGTAAGTCTCTGCTGCTGCATTCCTAGCAGCAGAACACATTTGGGGTTGGCACATATTTGGTGGTTGAAGCTGGCTAAATTGCCGAGAGAGATAGGTTATCAGCCGCATCGCAAAATCATCAATGCGAGCTGTGCGACCAGGAGCCCAAAATTTGGGGGGCTCAATGTCTAAACTTGCCAGCCTCTCACCTGCGCCTAGCACAAGGGTTTGTTGGCTCACACCCTTGGGCCGTGAGTGTAGTCACTCCGTTTGCCTTGCGAAATGCCTCAGGTGAATTTGGGTTGCCGTGGGCCGTCATGGATCACAATCGGCCGAGTAGGTCACAGTGGATGCTGGCACCAAAGGCTGCTTCTGTTGCTGCGGGACATGGTCATTCTGAATTTGCTAGTCGCATGGTAGAGAGGTGGATGTAAGAGCCGCCGGTGGTTGCTGTGGGCATGGGTTCTTTCATGTTCTTTCGGCGTTTCTTACCATGCAATGACAGCAGTTGCTCCAGTGGCCAGCCTTGCAAACTGCCATCAAAGGCAGGGGGTGTTGTTGCTACACCGTATGTGTCCTTTTCTTGCTGTTTGCATACCGGCTACCCTCAGGGCCGGAGCGTCCGGTAAGTCTCTGCTGCTGCATTCGTAGCAGCAGAAAACATTTGGGGTTGGCACATATTTGATGGTTGAAGCTGGCTAATTGCCTAAACTATAGCAACTAATGGGAATATTGATGGAAGGATATGATATTGATATGTGCATGAAACGTTTTCAGGATATCCTCTGAAATTAATCTAAGAGGTTGTTAAGGAAACTGGCCCGAAAGCAGATGATTTAGCATGATTTACTTATTATTGATGGTACTTTTCCATAGCTATGTTGAATTACCAGCGGGTGGGGATTTAAGATGATAAACAATTGAGTCCACCAGCTGGATGTGTACAAAGTAATGACAACAGGCACGAACTGGTCTTTTGCTATGGGGGGTGTATATTGTCAGCTAAACGTCTTTATTCCAGAGTATCTGAGATTGGCCACGTCAATACTATGTTAACATGCAAGAAGCACGTTCAGCTTGAGGATCTCTGAGGATAAGACAAAGATCCGCTTGTTGGAGGCGTTCACATGTGTCACCCGTAAGGTGTAGCAAACTATGGCGAGCAGTACGCCCAAACATCCATAGGATCATATGGTGACCCAGTGGCCCGCGATGTGGGTCTGGAAGTTCCAGTTGAAACATGTGGTCTCTGCTCTGCAGGCACGAGTCTGGAAAGTGAAAGTGAGCCTGGACGTCTACAAAGACGTCTTGAAAGCTTGCGAAAGGCTGGGTGACAAAAAGTGCTGGACTGCTATAGGGTGAGGAACGCAAACTGACAGAAGTACCCTCTGGGAAACTCACATAACTATGGAAGATCACCTTTTTGAATGGGAAATCAACTATAAATGGCCATTGTCAATAGCTATGATAGTTTACCAGATGGTATTTTTGGAAATTCAGTTCATTTTTTGTCAGGGCCCAACGTTCCTCAACAACATGTGGTGCAACTTACCGACCCAAAATGCCATGCTGGAAAATTATCAATATCTCCATGTCACCGTTGTACCCTCTGGTAATGTAACGCAGCTATGGAAAATCCTATGGATCATCATGTTTTATCATCTATGAGCGTGCCATTTCCCATAGTTACTATGTTAAAAAACCGTTAGATAACCAGATGGTAATTTGACATATGTTGCTCTGTCAAAACATTCGTTGGGATGATAGACGAGGATCTCTGTTTTTTTTAAGGGTGGTGGACGGGTACCCTCTGGTAATTTAACATAGCTATGGAAAATCACCATTTTTAATGGGAAAATCCACTATTAATGGCCATTTTCAATAGCTACGTTAAATTACCAGAGGGTAGTTCCCACACTAATGTCAACCTCACATTAACACCCCTGGGCTGCTTTTTTGGGTGGTGGTATCATCATTTAGAAACGATTTGTGCATTAGTCTAAACCAAATACAATTATTATTTTTTAAAAGATTATAAACTATTTTGCAACCATCTCGTAGTTAGGGGATGCACATCGATTTGCTAGCTATTATTTGGGGATGCACCAGGATGCGAGTCTCTGCAGGTCGTCACAAGACCGCGCAGCTGTGAAGCTGCTAGAGCTCCTGCAGGATGCCCAGACAGCTCCAGATCTTGAGACGTACCGGTGCTTTGGCTGAGCTAATGCCCTCCTGTGTGAATTCGCATGGTTTTTGCAAAGGGCAGCCCCGCAAAATGTGTGAAATCTAGGGACCACAAATTTGGCGGGCGGTTGGTTTCGAACGGTCCTTGATAAAGATTTGCAATGATGATATCGATGCTATCGATGCCCCCTGTCAAACGCAAAGCCAGCATTATAACATGAGGTAAATGATCCACTTTAAGGGCAATTTTCATCAATGTTTCATATGTTGAATTCCCAGAGGATGCCTTCGGCAAGGTCTTGCGACCGTCCTGGCTTTGGATTGAAACTATTACATACTATTACTATTTATGAAATGCGATTTCCGTGTGAAGTATGTAATATATACTGATATATACAGAAAGGGATATATATATATATGTATATCATATTATGTTTAATTATCTTTTAAACAAAGGATGGTTATCCCTAAATAGAAATTTCAAAACCTCTTAGCACCGATTCCAAAACAGCGATAAGTTTCTTTTAGTTTCTTTTTGGGTACTATACATACATTACATGTACATTTACATTAAATTTACATTACATTACGTTACATTGATACATACATATAGTCACCTATCTAGTTGGTGCATATACGTATATAACAGTAGTTTGGAGATAGTATCCGTGAGGATCCCGCGCAATTAAATTGTAGTCATCGTAGACGTTTGGATCCATGTATTATACTTGTGGATCCGTGTGTTATACTTAATGTTTACATTTTATTCATTTCCAAGTGTGTATAGTATATACATATGATTGTTTTATATACAAAAAATGACTATCTAAAGTATCTTCATTATTATCTAACATACATCTTCTTATTTGATCTATTTAAACAAGTATATATATATATACACATACAGACACATATGTTTTCACACCAACTATCTAATATTGTTCTTTATTTACAGCTTCAACTTGGTTTCATCGGCGCTTCTCACAGCGAGTTCCGAACCGAAGCGAGGCTCGTGGTCTCCAGCATCCTCCGCGCACGGGAGCTCGTGCGCCGAAAGAGCATCAAGTCGAAGTTGGACTTTCCGGTGCCGATGCCTTTTCTGGTTGGTGGTTTGGGAATACTCTAAAATTATCTATACTTCATTTACCCTGGTTGGTGGTTTCAAGCATGGCTTTGATTTTTCCATAATAGTTGGGATGATGATCCAATCTGACTTTCATATTTTCTATAATATATGGGATAATCCTTCCCAACTGACTTTCATATTTTCCATAACATATGGGAATAATCATCCCAACTGACATATATGTTTTTAAAGAGGGGTTGAAACCAGTTTCAAACATGGCTTTGATTTTCCATTTCATATATGAGATAATCCACCAACCATTGACGAACTCATATTTTTCAAGATGGTTCAAACCACCAACCAGTTTTTGTATGGAGGGATATAGCGTCGTCCACGGTTGGAGCCAACAAAAATGGGAGAGAATGGTATGTATGGCTAGATGTATTGACAATATGATGCATCTATACCTAGGTAGATAGATGGATAGATGGATGTGATTGATGCGATAGACAGATGTGATAGATGAGGGATTGGAGAAATGGCCGGTTCCACCTACATTTTTTGCATGTATTTATTATTTGTCTCGCTTTGCAAGAGACTTTAATCCTCGATGGGTTTGAATGCATGGGTATGATTTTCTTTGACTCAGGCAGTTTTATACAGCGTGATGGTTGGCTCAAGAGAAGTTATGCACTGTATTTTGTTGAATACCGATGCCTTTAAGTAAAACATGATAGAGAAGAAACATGGTGATGCTGACAATGAAACAGTAGGGTTAATCCGGCCCGGTCTAATGGACCTGGAACGTGATTCTGATGGTACATTCCTGGGGATGTAACGCTTACCGCCAAGGTAAACCCGCCATAGATGAGGGGATGGTCACCTTTAACATAGCTATGGAAAGTGGCACATCTAATTCGATGATTTGCCGATCATTTTACTGGTGGTGTTCCAAGTGATTTTCCAGAGCTATGTTAAATTATCATAGGCTAGTTGTTCATCAGAATTGCTTAGAGCAATGACAATGAATGATCATGATGCTACTACTAACTGCCAATGGCAATAATACCTTCAATGCTGATGACACTGATAATTCGAAAGAATCGTCATGGTCACCCTCCTCATCCTCCTCATCCTTATCATTCACGGAACCTATAGGGACCCCCCAATGATGAGACCCCGGAATGATGGAACCTTCATTCCCATGAATTTCCCTTGCTATGGGGTTTCTGCAATGGGAGGAGTATGGGAGTCGTATGGGAACGGGTGTCCGGACAAAAAATACGCTAACATCATACTTCATCATAATCCTCATGTTTATCGTCATCCTCATCTGGCTGGTGGCTTGGAACATGTTTTATTTTTCCATATATTGGGAATATTTGGGAATTTCATCATCCCAAGTGACTTTCATATTTTTTAAATGGGTTAAAACCACCAACCAGTCATCTATCCTTATCATACTATACCCTCTGGTAAACTAACAAACTATAGAAAACCACCATTTTTTATAGGTAAACCAACTATAGCAATTTTCAATAGTTTTTTGTATGTTTACCAGGCCGGGTAAATAGCACGAAAATCCTCATCCCTCCGGGACTCCGCTTTTCAAGGTGGATGATGTGGAACTCACGGAAGTGCTGGAAGAGATGTGGGAAGAGTTGCCCGAGGCATAGGGTTTTCACGCGGATAGCCAGGGGGAGGTATAACTTGATGTACACGGCCTGGTAAACATACAAAAAGCTATGGAAAATCACGAAAAAAGTGAGTTTTCCCATGAAAAATGGTGATTTTCCGTAGTTATGTTAGTTTACCAGAGGGTAACCAACAACAGTGTTGACTTTCAAGTTGCTAGTTTTAAGGGACCAACCAGTGGTTTGCACTCCCTTTTTGGTAAACCATAGCTTAAATTCTATCAACTTGACATTCAATAAACAGTGGTAGGTTATGGTAGCTTATGCTGATAAATTCAGGACAACAATGGGGCTTACAAGCACAAGATCGAGGGTGAACTGCATATTCGGACATCACCTTATAAAAGTGATCAAGCAAATGGGAAATCCTTTTTTCAATCGGGGATTTTCCATTGCCATGTCTGTTGCCAAAAGTGATTTGAACCATTTTTTCTTGCTGTTCTTGGCTGACTTCTGTAGGGTATCATGGGTCTTAAGGTGCTTGATACCCACACAAGCGATTATCTCCCTTCCAAAAAGACGCCCGTTAGCAACAGAACTGCAGCACATATTCCCCCTCATAACCGGGAAAACATACTGATACTTATGCCGCAAACCCGCAAGCGACAACCATCCCCGATATTAGCACAACAGGTTAAACAAATATCCCCACATCGTAGTTGTGCCTACCATTGGGTTTACCACCTTGGTTTCTTCCCAAACCTACCCCACATGGCACCATTACATTGTCGTCCGCAACGTACGGTGGTTCCCAGTTCGAAGTTGGTTTACCAACTGTAGGTATATCCACCCAACAGTTACTCGGTTTACAGTACGGTCACTGGAGGTATATCCCTTGAAATTTGGCCCTTACATAGACCTTAATTATATAGTAGGTCCAATTTAGGTTCCTGAAATTCTCATTGCGTTACTTTCCGAGCTAAGAAGCTCCATTTATAGTGTTTTCTCATGTTTTTCCCCTCCATATGCACTTAAAACATGGAGTTTTTGAGAAATGGAGAACACCATAGTTTTCATTATTTTCTAAAACCTCCATTTAAAGCAGCTATACATATGTTGAAACATCCTTTTCTCCAAGTCTCCACGTCGTTGTCCGAGTGCCAGGCATCTCCCACGCTGCAGCTGAGCGCTTTGGAGATCATCGCCAGCACAGGCGATTTGCCGCGGGCTCTGCAAGCCTTTGAGGCGATGGAGCAGGAGCAACATGGGGTGACCATCGAATCCGATAGCATATGTTCGTACTATATAGATATAATAACATCGGGTATATCAAATGATGACATAATTTTACAGTATATGGTTTTATATGTTTTTCAAATCATTATCACATAATCGTACAGTATATGTTTTTATATGTTGTTCTTATTGCAACAGTTTAGCACTATCATTATATGTCATTGTTATACTCATTATGTATATATATATATATGTATATATAACAAAATGGCCAGGACGGGGTGTGCTGCCCGGGGAAGTGCGTTTTTAGTGCGCAGGGCCAGTGTTTATGAGATTCGGGATGTCGGCCATCTACCCCAATGGCTGACGAGAATTACTTAGCCTCATCATCGTCATCATCATCATCATCATCTGCATCTGACATGAAACCCCAAGTACGCCTTGAAAGTACAATCTTGTTAAAACCGTGGTTAACAAAAACTAATTACTTTACTCTGAGTTTTCCCCACCATGACATCTATACGTTTTGTTACTGGCAAATCTTCTGGCATTATATCTGACATATCTTCTGGCATTTTATCTGTCATATCTTCTGGCATTCTATCTGGCATATCTTCTGGCATTCTACCTGGCATATCTTCTGCAATATGTTCTGGCATATCTTCTGGCACTCTATCTGGCATCTTCTGGCATATCTTCTGACATTCTATCTGGCATTCTATCTGGCAAATCTTCTGGCATATGTTCTGGCAAACATTCTGGCACTTTATCTGGCGTACCTTCTGGCATTCTATTTGGCATACCTTCTGGCATTCTATCTGGCATATCGTCTGGCATTTTATCTGGCATATCTTCTGCATTCAATCTGGCATATCTTCTGGCATTCAATCTGGCATATCTTCTGGCATTCTAGCTGGCATATCTTCTGGCATATGTTCTGCCATATCTTCTGGCACTCTATTTGGCATATGTTCTGGCATATCTTCTGACATTCTATCTGGCATTCTATCTGGTAAATCTTCTGGCGTTCTATCTGGCAAACATTCTGGCACTCTATCTGGCATACCTTCTGGCATTCTATCTGACATTCTAGCTGGCATACCGTCTGGCATTCTATCTGGCATATCTTCTGACATTCTATCTGGCAAACATTCTGGCACTTTATCTGGCATATCTTCTGGCATTCTTTCTGACATTCTATCTGTCGTTCTATCTGGCATATCTTCTGGCATTATCTGGCCGTTGAGGGCCAGCGGTGCTCACTGAGCTCGGAGGGTCCCAGGTTGAGGTCCAGCGGTGCTCACTGAGCTCGGAGGGTCCCAGGTTGAGGTCCAGCGGTGCTCACTGAGCTCGGAGGGTCCCAGGTTGAGGTCCATCGGTGCTCACTGAGCTTGGAAGGTCCCAGGTTGAGGTCCAGCGGTGCCCAGTGCGCTCAGACCCTTGCAGTTGAGGTCCAGCAGTGGCCACTGCGTGCAGAAGTTGGCGAAGAGCTTGGCGAAGAGTTGGCAAGGCGGAAGTGAACATGGAAGTGGAGGCAGAGGTGGTGGAGGAGAAGGAGGAGGAGGAAGAGGAGGAGAAGAAGAAGGAGAAGAACAACTCTGATAAAATCTAACAACCCTCACCTGGCAGGTGGGGAAAAACATTTAAAAACCCTAAAAACCCTAAATAAACCTTAAACAAACCCTAAACAAACCCGAGAGAAACCCTAAAGAGTTGGTCACATGATAAACCTCGGGCGGCACACCCGGCCTGGGGTAATATCATTATTATTATTAACTGTTGTTGTTGTTGTTGCTGTTATCATTAATATTAGTTCTACATATATATATATATATGTGTTTAATCATTGTACGTGTATATATATATATATATGTATATACATTATTTATTGATTTATTTTTGCATTTTACTATATAAATTATTTTACGTTTTTTTGTTTAGAAATTGTATATTTTTAGACTTTATACATATAGACATTAAGGTCATGGGATTATTGATAAACCAATCTTGGCTGAAATGCATGCTCGGTTGCTCCAACTCATTTGGCTCATTGAGGACAGAAACCCGGAAGCAAGGGGAGATTTTGTGTCCAAGTTTGGGTTCAAGAGGATTGGAATAATTATTGGGAATTAACGCCTTGGGGTTCACAGGATGTTCGAAGGAGTTTGGGTTAGGATTTCGAATGGGGATACGCACCAAAAACATGGCAGGGAGAGAGAGAGAAAAAGAGAGAGAGAGAGAGATAGAGACAGAGGGAGATTACGCACCGAAAATGGAAGATGGGAACCACACATGGGCCACATGTGTAATTTGGAGCAGGAACATGAACTTCCAAATCATCATTATATTTTTTATGGCATGTTTGGGGCATTGTATATGTGTTTTTTCCATCAAGGACTGCAAAGTTTAAAACATCCAACAGTGAGGACTTACTCGGGGTGCTTTGTTTGAAAAACCATGGTTTGGTGTACCTACCTGCAACCCATTTCAAACCACAAAAATGAATTGAAAGACATTGCTCAAACATGCTCAAACTATTGTTTTTCATACAAAATCCCGTGTCCCATAATGAGCACCAGACCAGTGACAAACCCAAATTTGATCCCATTTGTAGCTGATTGGCCCATTGAAAAGGTAGGTTTTGCAGCAATCCGAATGATCGTTTCAAGGATCCACTGATCCACTGATCCCTGGAAATTCAGACCAATTGAGATACTTCAAGGATCATCCCACTAATCCTAGGGCCTAGTTAGAAAGTCCCCTTATCATGGGATTATCCCATTTATAAACGGGTGGTAAGTTAGGTGATGTTTGATGAATGGCTCAGGCTGCGCGGTTCGCCCAAACTCTACGCACTCCCAACGTCCCCCGGTTAAACAATTACATTCATTGAAGATCTTCAATAAGGGATCAAATTTCTCACTATAAACCTGAACATGTCATGCCATTGTTCTATTTGGAGGAAAGTGAAAATGCTTGAAAAGGGGTTGAAAAAGGTTGTTGGAAAATGAATTTTTGATGCCCAGAAACAGTCATTATTCCGGTACATCCCGGCGTCGGAGAGGAGCTGCATGCCTTTTGCGCACTTCTAGTGGCGAGTGGCCAGGCAAAGCAACCTCAAGCCACAAAGGTGATCTTGAACGAGGCCATTCAGCGTTTTGGTGACTTGTATGCAGATGGAAGAAGATCTGGAGATATTTGGATGATTGACATGAGATGGCTATGCCATACCGGGGATGCTTGGAATAAGATGATTGGATGGCTGGAATATGATGGATTTTGATGATCTGGATGAAATTTGATCATGACCTTACGTGGTGACAGAATTCTGTAAGGGCAATCCCCAAATGTCCTTATTGCTGATCACTGGCAACGAGCATGTGATGCCCGGCAGCATAGCCGGTAGCGACGTGATCCTTTCCATTCCCTTCCATTTTGCGAGGAACACATTTTTTTAATTATAAAGACTGCTTTGGTAAACGGTAGGCCCAATAATAAACCTTCCCCAAAATCATCATCAACGGTAAACCATCATCCCCAAAAATAATAAACCACCCCCAAAATTATAAATCTGGGTTGAGCTGATCTATGCTGATCTCGCATCCGGCTGCATCGGCACAAGAGCCGTGAGGACATGAAGCACTGCTGTATCAGAAAGGTGTGCTGTCGCTGTGGACGGCGGGTGCTCCCAAGGATGCTTTGAAACTCATAGAGGTTCCGGGGTCATGCTGCCGGGTTCGTGCTGACAGTGGCCTGAAATAAGTTCTGTTTGGTTTCATGCGATTTGAAGAGAGGTCATGAAATAGATTGAATTAAGATGAATCAAGATGAATTAAGATCAGTTCAGTTCTTGCTCGTGTGATCTCATGTGATGACCTTTCTCCGGTGCAAATACGGGTCATTAGGTGGCACGCCAGCGCGGGATCAGAGTGGACCCCTTGATGTGTGAAGCTTGGCAATAATCAATGGATCAATGGATTGCTTGGGAAAACTGACACCGGAAACCATGCTTTTTACCATTACTGCTTGGTGGTTTCAAAGATGGCTTTTATGACTTGCCATTCAGTTGGGAATTTCATCATCTCAACTGACGAACTCATATTTTTCAGAGGGGTTCAGACCACCAACCAGTCATCTATCCTTATCATACTAAACCATCAAATATCATATATATCATGGTTTCCGCATGTTTTTTACCATTAAATATGATGGTTTCCGGTTTCAAAAAATCCCGTAAACCACAACCCATTTCTGATATGTCTGGATGCTTTTTACCTATATAATGACCTGATGAGGACGATGGTTTAATGAGGGGATCCGTGAACAAATTGTGGCCTTATTGTAGCTGTTTTCAGGCTAAAATATGAGAATTCAGCCAGATAAATATATACTATAAATGATGTTCTTTTGGGTCTATCATGGTCTATCATCTATAATTTGATAGTGTTTTTTCCCCATAGCTATCTTAAATTCTCGGAGGATAAGTTCCAAACACCCAGTGGTAACAAACATAGCAGATCAGATGTTTCACAACACATATGTCGGCATATAATATATATATATATATATATGCCATTCATTTCCAACCCGTTGATTGTTAAGTAAGATAGGTAAGTATGATTTTTTGGTGTGATATTATGTTATGGATTGTTACGGTAAGCACCATGCTGCATGCTGGGAAGATTGGGGGTGGCTTTAGGCACTGTAGGCTTTGCAACATATCCTAGCCATCCCTACCCAAGTGGCACACGGGGAAAAAGACTTCGAGCCAATTGAAGTTTTCCAACAACAAGTGAGTTAACAACCCAGACATAATTTGGACGTATATCCATCCATGACTTGTATGCTCTCCAGTAATCTAGCAAACGATATGGAAGACCCACCACAGATCATTTCCGAACGGAAAACAACCATGGATTTCCATAGCAGTGAGCTTACTGCAGGGTACAAACATGTACAAACAAGTTCTGCATCATTTATGCCAGCCATTTTTCCTCGCTATACCAAGGAAGTTCGAGGGTATCCATCCATTTTTGTCGGCATATCCATCTAGAAGCCCTTCAGGTTATCCTACCGTGATCAAACATGGCTTGCTGGATCTATCCACCATTGGTCGTTCGTTGATCCCATGAAAAATCACGGTGAAAATCCACCATTGACTTTCCCAGCTACAAACCTCGACTCCCAAGGGAAGGAGATTTCCCAGCCATGTTTGATGGACGTTCTCCCCAGTTTCTACAGCAACCCGTCCCAGGAAGCCGCGATCTACAGCTACGTGGTGTTGAATCGGAAGCCCGCCATGCTCCAGCCGTGGGTGGAGGACGTGCTCTTTAAGCGTCCACAGGGCATTAGGGGATATACATGGTTTGATGATTCACATACACACATATATAGAATTACACAGCACATATTTGTATATAATGATGGCTATATAATGCTATATATACATGTGGTTATTGGTTATACATAATATACATATATGTTAGTCGTTAGGTTAATTACATAGATAAAAAATGGTGATGTATACATAGACTTACACACATTAATATACATGTGTGTGATACACGAAGATCCAAACAAATCATGTTTCGTTGATTATTATTTTGGGGATTATTAACCTGCCCTGCATTTCATGTGAGTAAAATCTTCCATGAAGCGGAAATCCTGTTCTTAACCAGCGATTAAAGTGGAATGACATCATAAGCGGGTTTTGAGCCAGGCCGGCATTCCTTAGTGGCAACATGGCAACAGTCCCTTTTGTGTGAAATCGCAAACTCACCATAGAATCCATTGAATTATATCCCATGAATGACGGTGTCTATGGCCCTATTTATCCCATGAAATTCTTGTTGAGTCGCTTTGAATCACCATAGAACCCCAGTACATCCCAGTACCCTCTGGTAAACTAACATAACTATGGAAAATCACCATGTTCAATGGGTAAATCCACTATAAATGGCCATGTTCAATAGCTATCTTTTGATATAACCAGGCCGGGTAAGTCTCGCTTCATCAATCCGTTGCAGGAGGCGTACGAGACGCTGAATGAAGAGCCAAAAACCGAAGCCGTCTCGGCCGTGGCACGAGCGCTGGCGCGTGCAGATGTGGCCCGGGTCGTCGCAGGAAATTTGATGTTTGATATGGATGTGGGTCAAAATGGAAGACCGATGTGGGACCACAGATGTTATATAGTCTAGTTTAGTATTAACCATCCAATTATTGGGGTACCTAATTTTGACCCATACCCATATTTTGATATACAGTACCCTCTGGTTATTTAATCTAGCCATGGAAAATCCCTTATAAATGGAGGTTTTACTAGTAATGGGAAAACCATCTATAAATGGGCCATTTTCCATGGCTATGCTAAATTACCAGAGGGTAATGGAATCAGACATGGAATTTAATTAATGGGATCCAATTTGATCCATGGATGTCAGGATTATCCCAATGAATTAGAAAAGGAAATCAGACATTGGATATGGTCATCGGACATTTAAAATTTTGGGATCATTTTGGGATGATAATGAGATATCGTGATGGGATTTTAGGGTTATTTTGTGTGGCAAACCCCATGAAATAACCCCACCCCAAATGGGATTTGTTTAGGTATACCCCTAGGCCCTAGAACTGGGATGATGTTTTTTTGACCCTCAAATGGTTGCCAAATGGGATGGTTTCCAATGCGGTTTGCCACAGGAATTGGTATGACATGGTACTATATTTGGCTACTAAGTGTCCCATTTAGAAGTATAGTTTGTAGGAAATCCATTGTGATATTCCTATACAGATCATTTAGTTCGATGATTTACCTATCATCTGGTGATGTTCCTCCTGCTACGTATGTTAAATTGCCAGAGGTCCTGCTTTTGGAAAGGTGGCACCAGGGATAAGTCTTGAACATCGCAGTCAGTAGCCTTATAATTCATCTAGATCCATTATATCCCCATCGAAGCAAGGTTCCTGTATATCACTATTTTTGATGCTTAGTTTGGTCCCGAGAATTGGTAATTGGTTGCCATAAAATAACTATAAATAGGATATCAATACCCCAAGATAGAGAGAGGGAGAGAGTACCATTTGATACATTTTGATACCAAATCATGTTAAAGTAAAGCAATGTCATAAACCAGCCATATTTTGATAGTTGAACTCCCATCCATATTTTGAACTCCCACCTATGAAGCCTCAAATCGCATGATTTTTGTAGTCCCTGCGTCTTAGGACTGGCAGACAGCCCTCAAACTGGTGGACTACCTTCGGGACTGCGGCGCCAGGGCTGACGCTTCAGTGATGAACGCTGTGATCCACGCGTGCCACCGGCTGGGGCAAGGGCAAAAGGCACTGCAGGTGTTTGAGACGATGGTCAGCAATTTCCTGCACCTTGGCTTGTTGATTAATGTTGCTTAATCCCATCCCCTTTTTATTAAACACCCCATAAATGGTCCCAAGTATGTGGAAATTCCCTACTAAACCATGGTTTCCAAGGGGGTGTTTAATTGGGGGGAAGGGATTAGTTGAGTTTTCCTATGTTTGCCTCCGTCCACGCGACACATGGCAATGGAAAGTCCGGAAGTCCATGTTCTGTTTGGAAAGTCACTTAAACATGTGGGTTTGTCTGAAAATAGGGTATATTCCCAATTATAGCCATTTAATAGGGATAATGATCATTAACCATTGGGTTTAGGGGTACACTATTTTCAGACAAACCCATCTTGCGGAAAAAAAGTCGCAATTCCCTGCACTGCTTCCGGGTCGCCTGGATCGCCTTTGGCAGGACACCAGATGCCTTGTCTTATCACATTGCCATCCTTCAGTTGGTCAAGGAACGGAGCGACAATGCTGCACAGCTCCTGTACCGAGAAGTGACGCGGCGCCGCCTTTGCCCTGCATGGATTGCGGGGACCGAGGGCGAACATATCCCAGCTGCATAGCCATGTGATGAATGGCATTGATTCGTATTGAGAACATGTCCTTACACTATCCCCAAATCGCGATCCAAGTCTGGCAATGGAAAATACATGGAAAATACCACATTGATCGACGACTTTTCCAGCCAGAAATCATTAAAACCTCACGTTGAGTCCCTAGATTTCCCCGCCAGCCCTTAGTGTTTTTTATGGCCATGGTATGCCATGGTCATGTTTTCCCCCGGTTTTCCAGCAGGAAAACGTCTATTTGCGTCACGGGCCTGAACGATGAGTTGGCAGCCATTGCGACCCACATATTTTTGGAGGAGGTTGGGTCGCGACATGTTAAATTAGCGGTAAGCTAGTGTGTTAGTTCTGTGTTGGTCTGAAAATGATGGGAACATCCTGAATTCCATACACTTGTTCATCATTATATAATTGTCTCTACGAATGAACATGGACATTGCCATGTGAAAATGGGGGGTACCATGGGGTACCCCATGTTCACACACCCAGTATGGCAATTTCGCAGCTTGCGGGGCTTGCGGGGCTTGCGGGTGAGAGGACCCGGGGTCCTAGCACGTCAGGTCTCGAAAACATTGGTGTTGCGGAATTTGCGGATCACCATCTCAGCGGAGAGTTTGTGGCTGGGAGAACAGAAAAACGCAGCTATCTAAGTTGGTTAATAGTTGGCTTGTAACTGGTTTATAACTGGTTTACAACTGGCCTATAACTGGCTTACAACTGGTCTATAACTATAGTTTAACTGGGATTTATGGTGACTAATTATAAACATTGCAACTATAGTCAAAACTGGGATTTATATATGGTGATTATAAACCATTACAGATATATGGTTGGTGGTTTCAAACATTTTTTATTTTCTATAATATATGGGATAATCCTTCCCATTGACTTTCATATTTTTCAAGATGGTGAAAACCACCAACCAGATATAGTTAGATGATATTAGATGGTTTTATTTTAGCTATGGTGGGGCGCCACCTGGTAGAACCGGGTGTGAACGAAGCATCACGGAACTGACACGCATTTGTGTTCTGAACATGCCTAGACCCTGGGTGTACCCATCGAAGTGGTGTGTTACCCCACAAGTTTGTTACTTTTACATACTTTTGATCATATTTTTTGTGAATTTTTGATGTATGTGGAGAGTCTAGGTATGGTTTTGTGATCCTTTTCGTTCTTGTGCTGAGCGCTGAGGGTGGATTCACCGCACGACAAGGCCATCAAAAAGAAATTGACCAAGTACCGTTGGTCGCACGAGCGTTGGGTCCGTTGGGTCTGAACATTGAGGGATACCCTCTGGTGAACTAACATAGCAATTGAAAATGGCCATTTATAGTGGATTTTCCCATTAAAAATGGTGATTTTCCATTGCTATGTTAGTTCACCAGAGGGTACCATCAATACCAGCCTAGTGTAGCAATTTTCATGGAGATAATGAACTGGACATTAGGGCTCTCAGCATTTTCAGACAAAGCCATGAGAAGGGCAGGGCCGTCTCCGGGGTTTCCATCTGCTTCAAAGCTTGAGCCCCACATGTGGTGTCTGGTTTTTCTGGGGGGAAAAATGTAGGAAACCTACGGAAACCTCACTTTCCGATGGGACAAAATGGGACAAAACTATTCATAGCAGTTCAAGCTTCTTTCTCCAACAGTTTCCTGTCGACTTTCCCTCAAAGATCCTCAAAGCAAACCATCGATCTGGGTGAATAATGCTACAGTAGCCTTCCGGGCTAAACAAAAATCCACCACTATGAATAACTGTGACTATAACTATCCCTTAAAATTCATCCAAATTCCGATGTTGCCTAGAAAAAATCGAGCTCATCGCCCCAGCTCCGGCTGCAGGCTGATCTCCAGAGAGTACGGCCTGCGGCCAGACCTGCTCCCTGCGGGGGAAATTTGGATCAACAGGCGGCAGCCAGTGGCTTTTTGGTGAAATTTCACGGATTTCAAAATGACAGTACCAAAAAAAGAAGCATTCGCCATAGAATTTGAGGGCATATCCCCTGACTTAGGCCTTTTTTTTGGCCTTATACATGGTAGGTACCTCCAATTTAGGTACCTGAAATGGCCATTGATATGTACATTCTGAGTGAAATATATTGTAGTAAGCGCCGAGAAGATAGGAATATATTATATAGAAAAGTAATAAATCACTATTTTAGTGGGAGTTTACTTTTCTATTTTTTTGGGGGGTTGCTACAAATTGAGATATTGAAACATGCTAAAGTGTCGTGCTGTGGTTAGGAGGGAATTGAGGACCTATCGAGCGGTAGGCCCAGACCGATGTATCGAGCTTCGGAGATGTTTGGAGCTAAGAACAATCTTCCCAACCATTTGATAGGTGAGATATTGGTACATATTGAAAACTATTGGGAATTATTGACATACATTAACTCGATTGTCAGAGTTGGACATTTCGGCCGCAGGTTGGAGGTGAAGAAATGGAAAGGTAAGATGGAGCCACGAAAGAGAAAGATCCGCAAAAGCGAGACCGCCTTGGATTTTTCTTGGAAGGCAGGGATCGCACATTTTGTCGCGCAGCTTTTTTCACACCAGGCTATGGCGTGGTGAAAGCAGGGCAAGGTGACCGGTTGGTCAAAGCATGATTTGTTGCCCCCTTATTCCTTGATGATGTGCATTGTTGAAGACAATTTAGCACGCATGTACATATACTATAGCGTCAATAATTCATACATTCATACATTCATACATACATACATTCGTACATTCATACATTCATACATTCATACCGTACATTCATACATTCATACATTCAAACATTCATACATTCATACATTCATACATTCATACATTCATACATGCATACATGCATACATTCATACATTCATACATACATACATTCATACATACAGTAATTAATACAGTAATACAGTTATATAGTCAAAGGAAGTTTAGGGGGAGAAACTTCCGTGTTACGGACTTTTAGAATGTCAGGGAAAGAGTTAGTCAAAGAAAGAGTTAGTCAAAGAAGAGTTAGTCAAAGAAAGAGTTAGTAAAGAAGAGTTAGTATAAGAAAGAGTTAGTGAGGGAAACAGTTAGTCAGGGAAAGAGTTAGTCAAAGAAAGAGTTAGTGAGGGAAAGAGTTAGTCAAAGAAAGAGTTAGTCAAAGAAGAGTTAGTCAAAGAAAGAGTTAGTGAGGGAAACAGTTAGTCAGGGAAAGAGTTAGTCAAAGAAAGAGTTAGTGAGGGAAACAGTTAGTCAGGGAAAGAGTTAGTCAAAGAAAGAGTTAGTGAGGGAAAGAATTTTTCAAAGAAAGAGTTAGTGAGGGAAAGAGTTAGTCACAGAAAGAGTTAGCAAAGAAAGAGTTCGTCAGGGAAAGAGTTAGTTAAAGAAAGAGTTAGTCAAAGAAAGAGTTAGTGAGGGAAAGAGTTAGTCAAAGAAAGAGTTAGTGAGGGAAAGAGTTAGTCAAAGAAATAGTTAGTGAGGGAAAGAGTTAGTCAGGATATATGAGGTAGTCAAAGAAAGAGTTAGTGAGGGAAAGAGTTAGTCAAAGAAAGAGTTAGTGAGGGAAAGAGTTAGTCAAAGAAATAGTTAGTGAGGGAAAGAGTTAGTCAGGATATATGAGGTAGTCAAAGAAAGAGTTAGTGAGGGAAAGAGTTAGTCAAAGAAAGAGCAAAGAAAGAGTTAGCAAAGAAAGTGTTCCTTAGGGAACGAGTTAGTCAAAGAAATTGTTCCCGCAATGTAAATGGGATTGCACGTGGTGCTGGTGGATGAGTTGCCGATGGAATTCCATTGTGATTCGCAACTCTAGGATCGTTCCCTCACTGTAAATGGGATTCACACGTGGTGCTGGTGGAGGAGTTGCCGATGGAGTTTTGAAGGAAGTCTCGCACGAAATGCGGTTTTGAGAGATAGCAGATGCACCAAACCCTGTGTTTTTCCATACAAAGTCCGTCCCCGAACGCCGATGATCTACCTCTGCGGTGCGACGGGTGCGAGACGGTCTCGTGTGTGGTCGGATCATGGTCGGATATTCTCGGATCATGGTCGGATCGGTTCCGCATTGTAAATGGGGTTTCAACTGTTTTTCGTGCATGTGTGGTCGACAGAATTCCATTGTGATTTGTAATTGTAGGATCGTTCATGCATTGTAAATGGGGTTGCCAGTGGTGCTGGTGGATGAGTTGCTGATGGAATTCCATTGTGAGTTGCAACTCTAGGATCGTTCCCTCACTGTAAATGGGATTGCAAGTGGTGCTGGTGGAGGAGTTGCCGATGGAGTTTTGAAGGAAGTCTCGCACGAAATGCGTTTTTGAGAGATAGCAGATGCACGAAACCCTATGTTTTTCAATACAAAGTCCGTCCCCGAACCTCGATGATCTACCTCTGCGGTGCGACGGTTGCGAGACGGTCTCGTGTGTGGTCGGATCATCAGCGGATCATGGTCGGATCATGGTCAGATCGGTTCCGCATTGTAAATGGGGTTTCACCTTTTTTCGTGCATGTGCGGTCGACAGAGTTCCATTGTGATTTGCAACTGTAGGATCGTTCCCGCAATGTAAATGGGATTGCAAGTGGTGCTGGTGGATGAGTTGCCGATGGAATTCCCATTGTGATTTGCAACTCTAGGATCGTTCCCTCACTGTAAATGGGGTTGCAAGTGGTGCTGGTGGAGGAGTTGCCGATGGAGTTTTGAAGGAAGTCTCGCACGAAAAGCGTTTTTGAGAGATAGCAGATGCACGAAAGCCTATGTTTTTCCATACAAAGTTCGTCCCCGAACGCCGATGATCTACCTCTGCGGTGCGACGGGTGCGAGACGGTCTCGTGTGTGGTCGGATCATGGTCGGATATTCTCGGATCATGGTCGGATCGGTTCCGCATTGTAAATGGGGTTTCAAGTGTTTTTCGTGCATGTGCGCTCGACAGAATTCCATTGTGATTTGCAACCAGTTTGCAACTGTAGGATCGTTCCCGCAATGTAAATGGGATTGCAAGTGGTGCTGGTGGATGAGTTGCCGATGGAATTCCCATTGTGATTTGCCACTCTAGGATCGTTCCCTCACTGTAAATGGGGTTGCAAGTGGTGCTGGTGGAGGAGTTGCCGATGGAGTTTTGAAGGAAGTCTCGCACGAAATGCGTTTTTGAGAGATAGCAGATGCACGAAAGCCTATGTTTTTCCATACAAAGTCCGTCCCCGAACGTCGATGATCTACCTCTGCGGTGCGACGGGTGCGAGACGGTCTCGTGTGTGGTCGGATCATGGTAGGATTATTCTCGGATCTGGTCGGATCGGTTCGCA